AAGTTACAAAAGCACTGGGAAAAGCGAGTGATGGCCATTTTTTCCACACTTAGCGACCGTTGCACCATCCCCATGGTCGCGGGATCAAAATTCTGATGCTTGGCAGCTGACTCATGTTTACGACGGTCGCAATGTCCCGGAGGTCACGTGATTCCCCCTTTCGTGATCTTTGGACAAGCAACGTCAAAAATGGGGAAGCCAGATTCCTTTCGCCACTGTGGGACTAACGATTCGCTTAACGACCGTGGCAAGAAAGGACGCAAAACGGGACCAAACTCACTTAACAACTGTCTCACGTAGCCACAGCAATTTTGGGCTCCGTTCCAGTCGTAAGCCAAGGACTACTTCTGTTTACTTCTCAACGCACATGAAGCTATCCTTTCTCACATCTGAGGTTCTGCCCGCCGCGGGGCCGTGATGCCGTTCTCCAAACTCCCTAATCATCCATTGATTTAGTTTTCCGCATAGTTTATCATCTGAATCCAATGGGAACATAAAGAGCTATTTGGGAGGTCAACCACGGCGTGCTCAGAGGCCGACGTGATATCGACACCAGGTGGGGAAAAAAATAGCCCAATGCAGCCGATCAATACCTCGTTTCGCTACTACCGCTTTACACCCCGCACGCGCGCCTTACCCCCTTTTACAGCTATGAAAATAATAATCATGGGAACCGGGAAATAAATGCTTCCCTCCAGCTAAGCTCTTTGATTAGTGGAGGGCAGAGGTGACCAGAGCAGCTGCATCAAGGTAAGTTTATCACCTTATATAAAAACCGCTGAGATGAGCATCAAATCAACAGACACAGGATTCTTTAAAGGCGAAGAGCGACTTTCCTCAACGCGATGCTCTTTGCTGTGTTTAGGACTTCGTCTAAGTAGTCCCCGGCAATTCAGGAGCGCAATTCAGCCCAGATTTTCCATGGCTAAGTCAGACAGTCGTTAAGTGACTCTTGCCCCGCTTTACGACCTCCCTTTGCCACAATTGTGCAGTGAATTACCGCCGCTGCAATCTGCAACGCAGTTCTGAGCTGAATCCTTGACTTTGCTTGTCAGAAGACTGCAAAAAGGGATCGAATACGAATCGGTTGCCAAGCATCCAGATTTTGACCACAGGGATGCTACAACGGCCATCGGTGTGAAAAACAATCCTAAGTCACTTTTTTTCCAGTGCCGTTTTAATTCTGAACGGTCCTTAAAAAGAATGATTGAAGTAGAGGGGTACCTGTGCCCACAAATCTTGACGTAACTTATTAAAACCCACTGCTGTCTGACCCTCACAATATTCTTAAAGTTGTGAATATCATTGCACTGACGTGAGAATCCCTCTTTTCAGCCAAAGATGACCAGTGCTTGAAACCAAGAAAGAACATCCTTACTTCAAACAGTCCCACTATAAATGGATTTTGTGCAAGGGTGATCAGCAAGACTTGGAAAAGGTAATAATAATAATAAAGTTGGAAGGGACCTTGGAGGTCATCTAGTCCAACCCCCTGCTCAGGCAGGAAACCCTATACCATTTCGGACAAACGGCTGTCCAGTCTCTTCTTGAAAACTTCCAGTGTTGGAGCATTCACCGCTTCTGGAGGCAGGTGGTTCCACTGGTTAATTGTTCTAAAAGCTGTGAAGGCTCCAACGCTGGACGTTCCTAAGAAGAGACTGGACAACCATTTGTCTGAAATGGTATAGGGTTTCCTGCCTGAGCAGGGGGTTGGACTAGATGACCTCCAAGGTCCCTTCCAACTTTATTATTATTATTACCTCTTCCAAGGCTTGCTGATCAACCCTTGCACAGTCCATTTAGTGACGGTTTGAAGTTACAATGGTACTGAAAAAAGTGACGCATGCCCGTTTTCCACACTTAACGACCGCTGAAGCATCTCCAGGGTCACGTGATCAAAATTCAGCCACTTGGCACCTGACTCATATTTACGACGGCTGCAGTATCCCGGGGTCCTGTGATCCCCATTTCTCACCTTCTGACAAGCAAAGTCGATGGGGAAAAGCCAGAGGAGCTTAACAGCCCTGTGACTCACTTAAGAACGGCAGGTCATAAAGTGGGGAAGATTCACTTAACAACGGTCTTGCTAAGCAACAGAAATTTGGGCTCCATTGTGGTCGTAAATCGAGGACGCCTGTATTGGCAGATGCTTAAGCACTTGCAAGATACATCCTAAGCATATTTATAGCACACCGGAACGTGTTCCTGCAGAAGTTTCTCTCCTGTTTACATTTACCTGCTTAATAAATCTGGGCATAACTCAGCAAGACAAACCTGGCTCCTTAATTAAAAAGACCATTTAAAAAAAAAACCCAAAAGGAAAACAACAACAACAACAGAAGGACATCCTTGGGCTAAGTGCAAAGATTAAGCGCCTGTCCACCCAGCGGCCCTGTCCTCGCCAAAGATCCAACAGTTATTGAGGCCAGGTTTAAATCATGAAAAATCAACCAGCTAACGGCCTGCGCTCAATAGCGAGCAGAGAGCCCGCCTTGGATTAACACATTTCCAGTTATAACAAGTAATTTTACAGAGGATTAGTATCTTGATGGGCTGATCAATACGAGACTCGGCTGCCATTACCGATGAAGAGAAAATTACCCCTCTGGTAATCAAGAGGTGTGTATGTGTTAGTTCTCCTTCATTTACAAAAGCCATTATTGTAATGGTTCCAGCGTTAACAGCTGGGGCAATCTGAGCCGGCATCGGCCGTGATGAATTTTAAAACAGAGAGCATTTGCCACGCTCTCCATCTTACCTTTCATCGGCTCGCCTTCCTGAATCACGGCATTGTTTCCAAACCATAGGTGATGCATTGCACCCGATGTGCGTTATTCCTCAACAAGCTGTCTCGGTAATGGGGCTGGGGACCAACGGCTTAGCATCCTGGCCCCTTCCGAGCAGACAATTTTCGTTTTTAACTTTTACACACACACAATGTATGTGTTAGTGTGTGTGTATTCTTTATTTTTATACATATATAAGTCCCTGAAAAAAGTGACTTATAATAGCTTTTCACGCTTACAAACGGTTGCAACATCTGCCTGGACATGGGATCAAAATTCAGACTCTTGGCAACCGGCTCGTATAGCATATGGGCTATACCTTCCCGAGTCCAGATTCCACACAGGTTTTGAGGAGCATATGAGGGCTAAGATCCTGTGAGACATCTAGATACAGACAGACAAGCAGATACTGGGCAATCAAGCAGACACTGTGGTAGTAGACAAGGACCAGAAGACAACATGGTGATTGATGTAGCAGTGCCAAGTGACAGCTACATCAGGAAGGAGCATGAGAAGCTGGAGAAGCACCAGCGGCTGGAGGAGGAACTAGAGAAGATGTGGAAAATCAAGGCCAAAGGGGTTCCAGTAGGAGCACCCAATACTCCGACTCCAGTACTTCAAAGTGTCTATGAGGATTCTCAGTCATCCAGGTCATGGTTGTCCCAAAGATGCTTTTTCACGAGGCAACTGGACTTTCTCGTTTTTCTTTGAAGACGTTTCGCTTTTCATCCAAGAAGCTTCTTCAGTTCTGACTGGATGGTGGGTTCCCTTCCATTCCCCACCATCTAGTCAGAGCTGAAGAAGCTTCTTGGATGAGAAGCGAAACGTCTTCAAAGAAAAGTCCAGTAGTACTCCAAAGCCTTTACCACATCGTCATGAAGTCCAGCAAGTGAAAACCCCATTCCTGGGACAGATTATGTTCCTCAGCCATGGTATAACATGGTTCTGATACTGTCTAAATTTGTAAAAACAAGTTGATTATCCCTATTCTACACAGAAGAATCTGGAAGCCACTGGAAAGACTATGTCCTGCTCCAGAGATATGAAACCTGAAGTCCTATTGTTGAACTTCTAGAACAGAGTTTCCCAACCGTGGCAATTTCCAGGTATATAGACTTCAACTTCTAAGATTCCACAGCTATTTCTGAGCATTCTGGGAATTGGAAGTCTGCTTATTTTCAATTGGCCAAGGTTGGGAAACACTATTCTAGAAGCTTCATCATTGACCATTCAACTATTTGAGTGCTCCACAACATCTAATAGAACACAAATTCCTCTCTCCTATATGCTCTTTAATTCACATGGTTGTAGCACCTCATCTGAAAGTTTGATTTGCTTAAACATTTGAACAATTGGAGGCTGGCAAAGTTCACGCCACATTCCAGGCCCTCCATTATGATTTGTAAAACCGACTCTTGCACTGACACAACTTCATGGGGGTTAGCTTGATGAATCCACCTTGTAATCAATATTCAACTGATTACTTCCTCTAAAGTAGGAGCTCTCAGAAACTCTGGCTGCAAAAAAACTAGATTATCCCAGTGAATCTTAATTCCAAAGGAAACCGAAAGGAAACTAAGTTGACCAAAGCAAACACAATCTAATAACAACATAGTCTTACTTGTTGCAGTTTATGTTAGTAAACATATACAGGATGACAAAGTTACCAATCTTGCTGGAGGAACAATTGCAACCTTATGTGGTACCAGTGAAGGGGAATATGTTTATGATTTTGATATAAAGATACATAATAAAAATATAATAACAAAAACACATTAATTGCAACCTTCCCCAAATTGGCTGGAGAAGAAAATACATTAAAAAAGGCCAAGGATTCATTTCAACAGCCGTAGCAAGAAAGGCCGTAAAATGGGGGCAAGGCTCACTTCGCCCATGTCTTAGCAACAGAAAGGTTGGGCTCCATTGGGGTCATAAATCGAGGACTGCCTGTACTGGCTGGGGGATTCTGGGAGTTGAAGTCCACCAGTTGCCAAGTTTGGAGAGCCCTGCTTTAAGCTCTTGCATTTGAGGCTTGCACGGTCCCAGTTCTCTCCTCTCCCCTTTTCCTTTCCCATCCAAAGCCGAGATTTGCACGCTGAATTTGCAAACTGGGTTTGCAAGCCCATCAGTTCGGCTTTGGCTGGACCGGCGCACCTGCTGAGCATGCGCGACTTTGCTGGGGCTGCTGCTTTTTTTTTTTTTGCCAAGCTTTACCTTCGCCTCCTTCTCTCTTTCCTCCGCCCGAGTCCTCCTCATGGCCTTCGGGGACGAGTTTCTGCCGCTTTTCCCCACGTGCGAAGCAACCCGACCCGCTTCCCGCCCTGAAACCGTCGAGAAACAGCCGCTGCCCCAGCCTCTGAGCAGTTCGGAACCACAACTCCCGAGCTGCCCCGCGGCGCCTTCCGCCGGGCAGTGAAAATCCCGAAAACGCGGAAGGAGCGTAGTTTGCGTGCCACGACGGGAAAGCGAAGATCCCGCGGGAGAGAAATACAACTCCCAGAAGGCGGCGCGGTGGGGAAGGCGGGGAAAACGCCTCCCTGTGACGGGCGGAAGTGATGTTGGAGGTTAGCAACGGAGACGGTTGCTAACGGGGAAAGGCGACGCAGCGAGGAGGAGGAGGAGAAGGAAGAAGAGGAAGGCGGCTGTGAGCCGGGCAGGGACTCTGCGGAGGAGCCTGGCGGAGGAGGAGATGCAGGCGGGCTCGGAGGAAAGAGATCGGATGCAGCATCTGTAGGTGATTCTGCATTGATTTTATTTATTTATTTATTTATTTATTTAATGAGACTTATATACCGCTTTAAGTGCAAGCACTCTCTAAGCGGTGTACACCAGTAAGCAATGTATATATATATTTACATTGCCCCCAACAATCTGGGTCCTCATTTTACCTACCCCGGGAGGATGGAAGGCTGAGTCAACCTTGAGCCGGTGAGATTCGAACCGCTGACCTGCTGAACACAGTCAGCTAAAGTGGCCTGCAGTACTGCACTCGAACTGCTGCGCCACCTCGGCTCATTTTGATGGATTTGATTTGATGGATTGATTTGATTGACTGATGGATTGATTTTTGACTTTCTGGGGAGGCTTGATGCATTTTTCCTGAAAGATTTGGGGTTCTTAAAAGGAAGGGAGTAACCTCTGAGATTGTGGGGGGGTAGAAAGTGCTGCAGGCTACGGATTCACAAATACGCACCCAGGTTGTCCTCGAATTACGACACAGTTGAGCCCAACATTTCTGCTGCTAAAGGAGACGTTGGTGAAGTGAGCTTTGTCCCATTTTAGGACAGGTGGCAGTCCTGGCTAGAAGGGTCTTGGCACAACTTCTATAATAATAATAGTAATAGTAATAACAACAACAACAACACATCTGCCTATCCCACGTCCTTGGTAAGGACTTGATAGGTAGACAAAAATGGTAAATCCAGTCCGAACATCCGGCTGCGATGATCAATAATAATAATGATGATGATGATGATGATGATGATGATGATGTCTGGATAGTGGATGTGGCAGTGCCTGGAGACAGCAGAATAGAAGAGAAAGAACTGGAGAAGATAACAAAATACAAAGACCTACAAATAGAAATAGAAAGACTGTGGCAAAAGCAAGCAAGGGTAGTACCAATAGTCATAGGCTCCTTGGGTGCAATCCCAAAACAACTGGAGCACCACTTGAACACCATTGGCATTGACAAATTCGCTATTAGTCAATTGCAAAAGGCGGCCTTACTAGGAACTGCTTCCATCCTGCGACGATATCTGTAATACCATCAAACATCCACATCTGCCTATCCCAGGTCCTGGGTAAGGACTCGATAGGTAGACAAAATGCCAAATCCAGTCTGAACATCTGGCTGACTGTGCGATGATCCATGATAATAACAATAATATAGAGTTGGAAGGGACCTTGGAGGTCTTCTAGTCCAACCCGCTCCTCAAGAAGGAGACCCTGCCCCATTTCTTCATGTGCATCAGTTGCACCCTCCCTGCTCTCAGGCACCCGAGCCCTGGTCATCTCACGGTTGGACTACTGCCGCATGTTCCACCTGGGGCTGCCCTTGGAGAGTATTTGGAAGCTACAGCTGGTGTAGAATGCAGCTGTGTAGACACAGCTGTTGGCGAGCTGCCCTGCTTGCCAGTTTGCTTCTGGATCCGTTTTGATGTGTTGGTTACCATCTTTAAAAGCCCTTCCTGGTCCAAATTATCTGGGGAACCATCTCACTCCGATAGGATCAGCCCATCCCAACCACGCTGGCAGAAAAGGGATGTGGTGGACCCCGTCAGTCAAGGAATTCCGGCTGGAAGGGTCCAGGAGAAGAGCCTTTTCTGCTGTGGCTCCCACTCTCTGGAACATCGTGGCTCCCAAGGTGAGATCTGCACCCACCTTATTATTCTTCCGAAAAGGCCTAGAGACCAAGGGCCCCTCATTACAGTCCTATCTATAAATATTCTCCTTTAGTAACGCAATGTAATTTGCTCTGTTCTGCGTGTCGTTTGTTTTATCAACAGGGAAAGAAATTAGCAGTGCAGTGCCATTTCGACGTCAACTATGTCTGGCACAGCAGATGAAACATCGGAAGATCTTCCCGTGAGAGATGTAGGTCTAAACCTCGCAGGACATTCAGGTTTGTCGCCCTTCTTAGAACTAAGTCCTTCACGCCTTTATATTGTGGAAAGGTTTTTTTTTTTCTGCTAAATTGTCTCAGAGGGTACATAACAATATCATTTATTTTGTTTTTTATGAAGCAAGCTGTAGCTTCCTTCCAGTTTGACTCCAACCATACTGATTATGTCCTCACCAAGGGTTACAGCAGCGGTTCTCAACCTGTGGGTCGCGACCCCATTTGGGGACGAACGACCATTTCATGGGGGTCGCCAAACAACGCGATCCGCCATTTTTTTTCTCAGCTGGCGCAGGGGGTGGCGCCGCGCAGCCGTGCCATGCATGGGGCAGTGCCCCCATGCGCGCCGCGCATGGGGCAGCGCATGGGGGGTGGCGGCGCGCATGCGCACCACGCAGGGGCGCCCCGCGCATGCGCACCACGGAGGGGGCGGTGCCGCACATGCGCGCCATGCGGGGGCAGCCAGGGGGCGGTGCCGCACATGCACGCCATGCAGGGGGTGGCGCAGGGGGCACCGCCGTGCCTGCGTGCCGCGCAGGGGGTGGCGCCGCGCATGCGCGCTGCCTGCTTATGACCGGGGTTGTCAGTCTAAAAAGATTGAGAACCACTGGGTTACAGGGACACGGTGGCTCATGAGTTAAAGACGCTGAGCTTTTCAAGACCCCAGTGCCACCTGATGGGGTGAGCTCCTGTCCCAGGCTCCATCTCCTGCCCACCTCGCAGTTTGGAAGCATGCAAATGCAAGTCGATCAATAGGTATCGCTTTGGTTGGAAAGGAAGAGCGTTCTGTGTGCCTCAGGATATCATCATGCTGGCCACATGATGACCACGGAAATGTCTTCGGACAACACTGGCTCCCTCAGCTAAGAAACCGAGATGAGCAGTGCCCCCTGTAGTCAAACACAACTGGGCAGGGGAATCCTTTACCTTTGTCTTTAGAGAGTTAAAGAGATGTATGGATCCCTGAGGTTACCTGTTTGGGGTTTTGAATGTCAGCCCTTTACTGTAGATCAGGCTAGAGAAGTAAGGCATGTACTACTTTTACACTATTGCAGAGCTGTAGTAACAGAAACTTGCACATTTGAATGTTCTTCCTCCCTCTGTCTTCACATGAACCAGGGAGGGGCTCATAATTTACTCATCTTATTTTCTTGCCCCAGACTCAGGCCTCTTTTCTCTGACCTTTGCCTGCCTGCCTGCCTGCCTTCTCTCCCTCTCTTTCTTTCTTTCTTTCTTTCTTTCTTTCTTTCTTTCTTTCTTTCTTCTCTCTCTCTTTCTCTCTTCCTTTCTTCCTTCCTCCCTTTCTTCTCTCTCTCTCCCTCCCTCCTTCTTTCTTTCTTTCTTTCTTTCTTTCTTTCTTTCTTTCTTTCTTTCTTTCTTCTCTCTCTCTCTCTTTCTCTCTTCCTTCCTTCCTTCCTTCCTTCCTTCCTTTCTTTCTTTCTTTCTTTCTTTCTTTCTTTCTTTCTTCTCTCTCTCCCTTCCTTCCTCCCTCTTTCTTTCTTTCTTTCTTTCTTTCTTTCTTTCTTTCTTTCTTTCTTTCTTTCTCAATGGTCACTCTCTCTAACTTCTATCCTGAGCTGGAATCTTGAACTTGTACTTCATAAAGCCCTAAGCGGTAAAAGGATCCATTTCACCCCATGAGCTCAGCCTTCTCTAAAGCCATTGCAGAGGAGTTCACAAAACTTTCCTGCACTCAAATCTGTCATCAGCAAAATTGATAGTAGCCCTAAAAAAAATAATAATAATAATCCTTGATTCCTCTTCCTCCTCCTCCTCCTTTTGCAGATCCATCAACCGCCCAGAATGTAAAGGCTCGGCAAACTGTGTCACGAATTCACCGGGAGGACCTTGAAGATCGATACTTCCGCTTACACGAGGAGAACATCTTGCTGAAGCAACATGCCCGTAAGCAAGAGGATAAAATCAAAAGGTCCGGCTTCCTGATTGACTCCTTAAAATGTGGCTTGTAAAGTGAAACACAGGTTGTCCTCAGCGTGCGGCCACAACTGAGCCCCAAATGTATGTGGCTAAGTGTTAAGTCAGTTTTGCCCCATTTTACCACCGTTGTCAAGTGAACCACTGCAGTTGTTAAATTAGCAACAGAGTTGTTAAGTGAATCTGGCTTTCCCCATTGTCTTTGCTTATCAGACGGTCGCAGAAGGGGATCCCGTGATCGCACGACACTGCAACCGTCCTAAATAGGAGTCCGTTGCCAAGCATCCGAATTTTGATCACCTGACCATGGGGATGCTGCAACGGTCATAAGTGTGAAAAACAGTCACAAGTCACTTTTTTCAGTGCCATTGTCACTTTGAACGAACTGTTGTAAGCCCAGGAGCCCCTGTAGTTGAAGAGTGCATCCTATCGTGGGATAATACGTAATAATTAGGCCAGAGACCTTTTAACGCTTCCTTTTTTTAAAAAAAAAAACACCAAATTCTTAAAATTGTTTTAAGGAGCTTAACTCAGCTTCGTGAGACTTTAACCGTCTGTCTTCACTACGGCAAGTCCCTTCGGTGTCATCCATCCCCAAGGGCATAACCACGGAGCCTCAGGCAGATGTTTTTCGTTCTGTTCCGTTAAAGGGGAAAAAAAGTAGGAGTTTACTTTTTAAAAAAAAGGAGGGGGGGGGAAATCCTCAAATAGATGAAGTGTCTCTCTGTTTTCAGACTCCCGTCTGGATTCCCACAAAGGAAAAGAAATGAAATGTCTTCCCATAAAGTAGATGCAGCCGTCAGAGATGCGCAACCAATTTTGCAAAGTTTTAAAACCTCCCTCCTCCTCCATCAAAGCCACCTTTTCTTTCTTAGTCAGCCAAGTCTTTCTCCCTGACCCAATCCTTCACTGGGGCGAGTATCTTCTGGTTTTGGGGGTATTACATCAGCCCTGCACGCTCCCGGGTCTTTTGTTCTAGCTTCCCTCTGTTTATCAAAACTCAGAGGAATCAAAGGTACGGCTCTGGAGATGCCAAAAGCAAAGACTTCTTCTTTTTTTTTTTTTACCCTTTTAAAATTAGATGAAAACCATTCCTCCTGCATCCAATTATTATCCAACCACGAGCTGTTAAGCCTCTCCTAAGTGTGTTAGCCTTATTTGCTAAGTATCAGACGCAGCAAGGCACAGGGGATGATTAAAAGCTGGCCTCGTCCACCTATTCCTTTTTATATTTCGTTTGGTGGAAAACGGCATGGTTTTTGTTCCCCTGCTCTTGCATGGAAGCAGAAGACATCAGCGGAATGTGTGACACATTGCAAGCATCTATGGGGGAGTTTAACATCATATGGATCTCGTAGCCTTTGTGCCTGGCCTCACCACATCCCGAATCTTTAACGACACTTACCAGGGCCCAGAGTTTCTTAGCGAGGTCATACGTTCCAAATTTTGAGCAGCATATGGAGCAAATATGCGTCCTTTCCCACTTGACTAAACTTTCAATGATAAGCCTTAGGAAACTATTATTTGTCAGTACTATAAAGCAGATTGCTGCCCGGTGGTTTCAATTATCTTCAAAGGCCGCTTCGGAGGCTGTGGCTAGTTATATGGAAACCTGAAATTTATTACTCAGGTTCGACGCCGAAGTCTTCACAGTGATTATGTTCCTTTCAACAAAGTGCTTTTCGTGCTGATGTGTGTGTGTGTGTGTGTGTGTGTATGTGTGTTTTGCCCCTTCCTTCCCTCCCCCCCCATTGGATACATCTGATGTCTCCTCAGAATGGCCACGAAGTTAATACGGCTCGTTAATGACAAGAAGAAAGCGGAGCAGATCAGTGGCGGCCCCAGGCGGGTGGGTCAGGACGTGGAGATGGAGGAGGTGATCGAACAGCTTCAGGAGAAGGTCCGGGACTTAGAAAAGCAGAACGAAATGATACGCAACAGGCTGATTTCTACCAAGCAGCAACTTCAGCTTCAAGGCCATAGACACGCGCCCTACAATTATGTCCAGGCTCGGGTTAACACAGGACTCAAGAAGGCGACTGAAGGTGTGAGGGCCCATGAGGCCACCCCGAAAGGTATTGGATTGAGCCTTTCACGGTCTTTGTTTCAGGTAGGGAAGAGGTTAAACCTAGGTCTTAGGTGCCCAAGAAATAGTTTCATGGGTGGAAACTAATCAAGGAGAGAAGCCACCTGGAATTAAGGAGAAACTTCCTAACAGTGAGGACAGTCAACCAGTGGAACAGAAGTTGCCTTCAGAAATTATGGACGCTCCATCACTGGAGGTTTTGAAGAAAAGGCTAGACAGTCACTTGTCTGAAATGGCATAGCATCTCCTGCTTGAGCAGGGGGCTGGACTAGAAGACCTCCAGGGTCCCTTCCAGCTCTGGTCTGATTCAGAAGGTCAGGCTTTTGGACAATTGGGACATTTGTCCTTGAGGTCAAATGTAAGGACATCAGCAAAGTCGCCGATATAAATCAGAAGGGTGACAGTTGATTTAATTCTGTGAATTTGAGTTGATTGAATTCTCCCCATTTTTTTTTTATCATTTCAGAGAAGCCCTGGGGCAGGGGTAGGCAACCTTGGCTCTTTTATGACTCGTGGACTTCAACTCCCAGAATTCCTGAGCCAGCCATGCTGAGGTGACAGGGAGAGGTTTCCATGCTGAGCCATGCTGGCTCAGGAATTCTGGGAGTTGAAGTCCCCGAGTCATAAAAGAGCCAAGGTTCCCCACCCCTGACCGCGGGGATGATGCAACAGTCATAAGGGTGAAAAACGGCCAAAAGTCATTTTTTCGGTGCCGTTGTAACTTCAAACGGGTCACTGAATGAACAATTGTAAGTCAAGGACTCCCTGTATTTCTTAAATTTCTTCTGGGCCTCAGGAGTTTGGCATTTGCTATAGTGAGCTTGATTTTCGGCTCCAAACTCTCTTGGAGCTGCAGAATAGATCCCAGATCTCTGAATCAAGATCAGTCTTCTTCATTTTAAGACTTCTTTCTCTGTGGTCAAGGTTTCCTATCTTCTGTAGAGTGGTATAGAGGTACACCCCTCAGCATCAGCCATCTTTTATGGTTCGTGCTGCAAACGTTAAGAGGATGAAGGATGTCCTTAGGGGTCTTGTGTTCCTGTCCAAGCATCTTACTTAATAAATACGTAAAGGTTTGATCACGGTGGTGATGATGATGATGAATCCATTATTTTTGTCCTCTTGGATTGACTTCCCAGTCAACAAACATGCTTCTCTCTTTGTTTCTTTCCCTCCATTGAACCTTTCCTACCAGGGATGAGATTGCAGAACGTAGAAGAATTGCCTCCCAAGTATGGACACAGTTTACTTGAAGAAGCAAGAGCAGAGATAAAAAACTTGTACGGCTTTTTTTGGAATTCTCTTCCTCCTCCTCCCCCTCCTCCTCCTCCTCCTCCTCCTCCTCCTCTTCCGCCTCTGATCAACCTCTTAAGCTTCTCAAGAAAAGTAAAAAAAAAAAAAAATCAAGATCAGGCAAGTCCTGTTCAGTGTTGTTAAGTTCTCCTATAAAAGGTCGACATTGAATTTCTCAAGGCCCTCTAAAACTCTTGGCAGTTTGGTGGACCCTCTGGGATTTTTGAAGCCATTTGTGGGTATTTTCCCCCCCAAAATAAAAATGCTGGTTAAGCTTGGTTTGACCGTTTGTAAAAGGGCTGCCTTGTTGGGTGTGGTTGGTACAAAGCGCCCGTTTCCAAAAGTCAAAACTAACGAGGTTGTTCGTTACATCTCTGCCTATCTCAACCTCTATATCCCCCCAAATGATCTTTGCCTTTTTTTGGAGAACTAGTGATCACACTTGCATGCATGCATACATACATACATACATACTGAATAGCAACTTATTGCTATTAATGGCAATGATCAACACTTATAATTGTAATTCAGAATAGAAGAGAGTTTAGATGTCTTTTCTAAATCAAGTCCTGTATCAAGCCCAATTTATATATTTCAGGGTTGTTGGTTTTTTTGCTTTCTAGTTATGGCAGTTTTAGAAAAGAACGTTGGCACGTTGATCAAGAAAAAATAACCATACTTTTTTGGGGGAACATGTTGTTTCTTCAAGTATTATTTTAACTAAATAGCTCAGTGAATTAGCAAAGCCGTTAGCCGTCTTTCTGAAATTGTAAGCTTCTTCCAATGACCTCTTTAGAATAACACTGATCAGCTTGCATTCCCTCCCCCCACACACACACACCTAAACCTGCCGTTTTCCTTCTGTGTTCCGTCTTTTAAGTTGACGTTTTCTGCTTTTTCATGGGGAAAACTGGCTCGGTTGAATTGAAGGGAGAATGAGCTGGAATCACTCCGGGGACAGAATCAAGAGTTGGTCCTTGCGATCGAAATGCTGAGAAGTGAAAAAAAGAAAAAAGAAGAGGAGTTCGAAGCCGCTCTCCTCCAACTGAAAGAGCAGCAAGCCACAGGCCAACGGTAGGATAAAACAGAAAGATCCATCCGATCAAATTAAGAGTTCAACGTTACAGTTGCTCAGTGTAAGCATCCTCTTGACAGCCCTCGGAAGGTGGTGGTGGGTGGAAAATCCTTTGCTTCTTAATATCCCGTGTGCATCTTAAGGTCATTAACTTGACGGGAACGCCAGCAAACACACTCCAGCGGATTGCGGGTTTTTTTTCAACCTCAACAGCTTTAAGATGTACGCTACAATTTCCTGAATCCCTTTGGGCAGATTCGTGGGGAATTGTGGGACTTGAAGTCCACCCCTCTTAAAAAGTTGCTCAAGTTGAGAAACGCTGAGTATATAATGCTGGACAAGGATTTTTTTTAAAAAAATAAATAAATAAATGACTGTACAGTTTGTAGTTGTGGTGGAATGTAGTGGGGAGAAAGGAGAGAGGGGCTACTTCCCAAAGAGACAGTGTGGACAGGAAGAGGGTGAAAGGGAACAGTTCCCTGGCAGTTCGCGGTGTCTATCGTTTTTGCGGATAACTGACTTCGTCTAGGCAAGAATCTGTCTTTAGGTTTACAGCGATAAGGAAACATCTTTTGTTAAGCGAGACATTTGATAAACGAATTTTGCCCCATTTTATGTCTTTTGTGGCCACTATTGCTAAATGAGTCGATGCAGTTGTTAAGTTAGTTTTGACTTTGCATGTCAAAAGGTTGCAAAAGGGGATCACGTGACACACGCCCCCCGTGACACAGCAACGGTCATAAGTATGAACCAGTTGTCAAGCAGTTGAATTTTGATCACGTGACCCTGGGGATACCGCAAAGGTTGTAACTGTGAAAAACGGTCCCTTTTTTCAGTGGCCATTGTGACTTTGAACCGCCGCTAAATGGATCCTTGTAAGTCACGAACTAGCGACACTCAGAAATAACTCCCCATATTATTTTCGGTTCTTTATGCCTGAGATTAGTAGCTTGGTTCTCATGGTGCTAAGCCTAGCGTGGGAAATTCAAAATAAAACCACATGATGGCCAGGATTACATGTGAACTAGACCCACAGCATTAGGGTGTATCAGTATAACAGAAATGTAAAATGTAAAACAAATATATTTGTGGAGCAGAACATACTTCAGTGTAAAACTACAGCAAAAGATAATCTTTCTTGTGGCAAATGTCCAACAAAGCAGGGAATAGGTGCTATTTTTCTTGAAAAAGACAACCAGCAATGAGGGCCTGCTGCCATTTTCTGTTGTGGCTTGAAACTACAATAGTTTCCTGTCTTATCTGGATCTGGCCAACAGACACACACACAAACACACACACACACCCATGGAATATCTAGACAATCTTGGTAATTAAGGGCTGTTGAGCTAACATCTGTAGGACACGGACAACTTTTTAAAAAACTCCTTTTTATATGTGTGTGTGTGTGTGTGTGTGAGAGAGAGAGAGAGAGAGAGAGAGAGAGTTTAAGTTTTCAGCTGGTTTACAGATGTATAAGCTTTGTAGTCTAATTTCTGGTTCCAGCAGTGGAACAATTTTTCCAATCTGTCTTTAGCAGATAAGTATTGGGGGGAGAAACAGCGTATTTCAAGATGTGAGATTCTGTTCTTCTGTTTATCTTCTTCCTTTATTTGGTATTAGCACTTAAGCCCCTTTAAGGAGTTTCCTTTAAAAATGGTCTTGGTCTGATGCACCCATGCAGAAAGAATAACAATGAGATCAAATGTTATGTTTCTGATATCTTATCTATATTTAGCTGGGCAATAACTTTTCACAAGATAAAATTATGAATTTGCTATTGAATCTCGGCAAGGGAAATATATAACAGAATCTTAGCCCTATAGAATTTCGACTAAGCTGGTCAGTGTTAAAATACATCTGCAGCTTATTTGAATGCCGGTCTCAAAGTATCATCTATGTAAAATATTAAATCATTGGCCTTGGAAATAGTTGAGCTGAGGAAGGAAATAAGTTCCAGGGGGAAAAAATGCTAGTAAAAAGTAATTATCCAACAGCAAAAGTTTGAAAGTTGCTTGATAGCAAAATTAAATTATCTGCCTATTATAAACATCAATGCCATTAGCATTCTTCAACCCTCTTCCACTGAAGCATGGATTGATTTAACTATCTGCAATGTTTATTTAAAGAAAAATAATTAAATTGACTTTTGGCCATGCTGATGTTTTTTTCCCCTGGACTGCGTTAGAAATTAAGAAGCTATAAAGAAACTGTTTTGAAGGCTACCAGTTTCAAGATCAAATTTACATGGTGGCTTGCTTTAGTAATAAAATCTGACCATGGTTTTCTCTCTTTGGGAAAAAATAAAAATTCCTTTTTTGGAGGCTATGCATTCGAGACAACGTAGAGATGATCAAGCTCCACAAACAGCTTATAGAGAAAACCAGCGAGTTTGCAGCATTGGAAGAAAAGTTGCTTCAGCTTCAGGAGGTAAGCAGATCCTTCAGGTGTCTCATCCAGATCCAGGTAATCTGACCCCGCCCTCGAGCACAGCCTCGGTCATCTCCTACGTAATGACCGGGAAACCTTTTAATTGCATTTGTCTTAATCTTCCTCACTTCAGCAATACTAGGAAGGGTTCATGTTCTGTACTCTTTGCTGTGTCTAGATCACATCCACAGCGAGAGGATCTCCTGGATGCTCAGTTGGCATCACGTATTGTGTAAATGTATTTATTTATTATATTTATATGGGCGGTGCAGTGGCTCAGCAGTTAAGACATTGGGCTTTTCGGCTGGAAAGCCAGCAGTCCTGAGCACCACGTGATGGGGTGAGTTCCCGTCCTCACCCCAGCTCCTGCTCACCTAACAGTTTGAAATGTGAGTAGATAAATAGGTACCATTTCGATGGGAAGGTACATTATGCTGGCTACATGATGGTGGAAATGTCTTCGGACACCACTGGCTCAATGAAATGGAGATTAGCACCATCCTCTATAGTCAGCAACGACTAGCGGAGTAAAATCCGTAGAGTCTCCATTACCTTTTTTAATTACCGTATTTCCCCCAAAATAAGACCCAACTGGAAATAAGCCCTAGCATGATTTTTCAGGGTGCTCGTAATATAAAACCCACCCCCAAAATAAGCCCCAGTTAAAATGGTCAGCCAGACAGCTGCATTTAGTACCGTATTTCCTCGAAAATAAGACCTAACCTGAAAATAAGCCCTAGCATGATTTTTCAGGATGCTCGTAATATAAGCCCTGGTTAAGATAGTCAGCCAGACGGACACATTTAGTACTGTATTTCCCAGAATATAATCCCTAACTGGAAAATAAGCCTTTAATGCATCTTTTGGAGCAAAAATTAATATAAGCCCTAGTCTTATTTTGGGGGGGGAAACGGTATATTTAAATGCTGCCCATCTGACTGTCAAGCAACACAGTGGGGCTTACAGCATCATAAGAACACAATATAAAACAACGAGAACAGTAAAGCTATTTAAAAACATTCTTAAGGATTAAAAAACAACAACAACAAATAACTAGATCAGGGGTAGGCAACCTTGGCTCTTTTATGACTTGTGGACTTCAACTCCCAGAATTCCTGAGACAGCATGGCTGTCTCCCCGGGCTAAAGAAACCATACGTGATGGGACCTATATCACGATAGAATGTGCTGTGAACAATTTTAGATTAGATTAAGGCTGTTGAAGCCCTGTTGTGTCCGATGCTGATGAACTATAATTCCCAGAATCCCTTGCATGCTCTCTGAAGCTTTTGGGGAAGGAGGACTTGGGCCAAATCATCTGCCAACATCTCACGTTCCTTAGCTCCTTTGTAGCTTGTGGCTGATGTTGTGTTGTGTTGTGTTGTGTATTCCTATCCGATTTATTTCCTATTTTCATCGTGCTCCATAATGGTAAGGAATTAAGAGAGAACATTTCTCATGAATTACCTGCCCTTCCAGAAGTTTAATATATGGCACGTTCTGTCATGATATCGGTCCCATCACATATGGTTTCCTTAGCCCGGGGAGACAGCCATGCTGGCTGAGGAATTCTGGGAGTTGAAGTCCACGAGTCATAAAAGAGCCAAGGTTGCCTACCCCTGGACTAGATGAAGAAAGGGCCAAAACATAAACAGAGCGGAGGTGGTAACCTCTCTTAGTCTTAAGTATAAAGCATTGAGCAAAGCTATTTGATTCTGAATGTAGCCTAAATGTGACTTATCTAGCACTAATATTTCTTTCCTTCCTCTCTTTACTCTCACAGAACCAGAAGAATCTCAAGACAAGCCACGATGCCCTAATAGCCAAGGGGGAAGAACTGAATTTGCAACTTAAAGAAGAACGTTCAAAGTGCCTTCACCTAGAGAGAGAATTGCAGGCCACCACATTTTCGAGACGAAGATTAGAAGAGGTAAAACCTTTTTTTTTTTAATGGTATTTAAGAGAGGCACGGGCGTCTCCCAGCGTTCTCGAGCGGAGCAGAGCCAAACTGTTTAGTGGAAGGGACCAATCAGTTCGAGGCTATCTGATAGTTTGAACAATCTGGTCTTGTTTAGCTTATCATTAGCAGGAATCTGCCAGACGCATGTTGGCAGACGTAGGATATTTACCCTCCGATCGTCTTATAACTCATTCACACTGCATATTTTCCGTGCTATGTCGATTGTTCCCACCCGCGGTTCCTATTATGGCACTGCAAGTAGGATTCGTAGGAATCTGAGCCGTCTAAATGGAGCAATCGTTCCGCGAACATCTCTGGAAAACATCTTTGCCTCGAAGTAATATATTAGTATTCGTTCCAAGAGTGTCAGCCATTTCAGGACACAGAATTCATCCTTTTCCACGATGACTACTAAAGTCTTATATAATGGGTCAAAAGCCTCATTGGACTGCTACTCATAAAGGAGGTATAATTATCATCCTTAAGAGACAGTGAGTTCTAGTCCTGCTTTAGACATGAAAGCTGGCTGGGTGATTTTGGGCCAATCACCAGGAGACTGTGAGTTCTAGTCCTGCCTTAGGCATGAAAGCTGGTTGGGTGGTTTTGGGCCAATCACCAGGAGATTGTGAGTTCTAATCCCACCTTAGGCATGAAAACCGGCTGGGTCACTTTGGGCCAATCACCAGGAGACGGTGAGTTCTAGTCTCGCCTTAGGAATGAAAGCTGGCTGGGTGACTTTTGGCTAATTGCCAGAAAGCTGTGAGTTCTAGTCCTGCCTTAGGCATGAAAGCTGCCTGAGTAAATTTGGGCCAATCATCAGGAGAGGGTGAGTTCTAGTCCTACCTTAGCCATAAAAGCTGGCTGGGTGACTTTGGGTTAATTGCTAGGAGGCTGCAAGTTCTAGTGCCACCTTAGGTGTGAAAGCCAGCTGGGGGACTTAGGACCAATCACCAGAAGAGGGTGAATTCAAGTCCCGCCTTAGGCATGAAAGCTGGGTGACTTTGGGCGAATCATTTTCCTTCAACCCAGCTCATCTCAGAGGGCAGTTGTTGAGAAAATAGGAGAAGCAGTATTAGGATATTTGATGCCTTGTGTTATGTATAAAAAAAAAAACATTAAAGGTAGGACGTAATTAATAAATAAAATCAAAACTGCCAATGTGTTTATCCCAACGAAATAAAGCTTTGTCCGTGAAACATTCTTTTTAATATTTTTGAGTGGAGGTACCATTGCAATCTGCCTTGTCCTTTGGTGACATCAGAGCAGCAAAAGTGATAGGATTGTCAGTCTCTCATTGGCAGAGAAAGCAGGTGGTCCAGGCCCTTTTAGCCAGGGAACCTATTGAATATTAGTAATTGTTGCTTTCACCTCATGCGATGAATCCCTAGTAACATTCTTTTTCATTCCAGCTGCAAGACAGAATTAATGATCTGGAAAAAGAGAGGGACCTTTTAAAGGAAAACTATGATAAATTATATAACAGGTAAACTATAACTAATGGAGTAATTTCTTTTAAACTTGGGTGTTTTTTTTTTTAAAAATGTTCTTGGCGGAAAATAATCGGACTCTGAAGCACGGATGTGTAATGTTGAACTCAATGACCTGAACAGGCAGGACCGGGCGACGTTGCTAATGCCTTGGAACAGGGACTCAAGAATCTTGTCCACCTCCGCTTTCCCACTAATGAATGCATGCATAGTATTTGGGGAGCAATCTAGGGTGACTAAGCTGCTCCTGCATTGGAGAACTTCTTATGGGTCTCGTTCTGGTCCTTCACTCCATCAGTCTTTTAACTTTTACAAGATTGAGCCCTGATCTACGGCCATTTGCCCAGCCGGCAGTGTGTCATCAATCTTTTTTCTTGCGTTTTTTTTTTTTTTTTTTAGTTTTGTTCTCTTCTGTCCTTTTCTTTCTCACCTCTGGAAAGAAAGAGACTAAGTGGAGATTTACAGGAACATGGCAAAGCTTTGTGGTGGGACAGAGCAGTGGCGAAAACTAGCCTGGGCAATAGTTCTGTTCAAGATAATGATCAGCAAGCTTTGATGTTGACAAGAAAGGCAGGAATTTTTCTTAAGGAAATTCGGAGGTTGTGTTGGCAAGAAGTGCTAACCTACGGTTGAGTTGACCTTAGTTTAATAACCCATTCTTCTGAGTTCATACAACACACTGACCTTTATATGAAGCACGTGACATGGTTGGTCCAAAGTCCTGGGCTAAACATGCTAGGCTAAAATGTACTTAACTACTTTGTGAGTCATTTGTGATGGATGACCATATTAGCTCAGGAACAAAACATTCATTTAACCACAAATACTTCTCGATATCCATTGAGATTGTCGTTCCCTTTTTATATATCAAGACAACAGGCTTGTAAAGAGGATGACTCTTAGAGTCATGATTTAGCTGGTTGAATTCCAATGGAAAGGATGATCAGAATAACAGAGTTGGAAGGGACCTTGGAGGTCTTCTAGTCTAACCCCCTGCTCAGGCAGGAAACCCTATACGATTTCAGACAAATGGTTGCCCAATCTCTTCTTAAAAACCTCCCATGAGGGAGCACCCACAACTTCTAAAGGCAAGTCGTTCCACTGATTAATTGTTCTAATTTTCAAGAAATTTCTCCTTAGTTCTTGGTTGCTTCTCTCCTTGATTAGTTTCCATCTGTTGCTTCTTGTCCTGCCTTGGAAAATAGGTTGACCCCTCCCACTTTGTAGAGCCCCTCAAATATTGGAAGACTGCTATCATCACCCCTGGTTCTTCTTTTCATTAAACTAGACATAACCAACTCCTGCGACCGTTCTTCAGTTTTAACCTCCAGCCCCCTAATCATCTTTGTTCTTCTTCTCTGTATTCTTTTTCAATCTCTCTTTTTTATATCCTGACGACCAAAAATGGGTGCAGTATTCTAAGTGATCCTTATAGTCTTGAAAGAACCGGCTTTTGTGAACTGTTCTTCCCTTGTGGGACCTGGAGCAATAAATCCTTTACTCCCCCACCTCCCTTCCTCCCTCCCTCCCTCCCTGCCAAAGCTCTACCCTCTTGTACAGATAATGTTGCCCTTCCACGCTCTGATTTGAGGAACCATCCATTTCAGGCAGCCTTTCCTGCCTGCAGCTCTTACCCTGCAACATCTCAATTTCCTGAAAAATGCGGACTCCGACTCCGAGCCAAGCGGAGCGTCGTTTTGACTTTTCGGGTGCCAAAAAGCCTTGGGCTGGCACTGGTGACTGCCCTTGATATTTCTATAAAGTTGCTTCGAGGTAATAGTCTGTGTAAGTTCTGTCAGCAGCGCTTAATATCACATAAATAAAAAATTAGGAAGCTAAACCCACGGAACATGAAATGAGATAGGGCGCTGAATTCATTTTCTGGTGCCGAACAGAAAATTGAAGCAATTACAGTCAATCTGCAGAGGCTTAATGAAGAAACACCTGATTGTTGAAGCCTCCAGTTGCAGATGAAATAATGTATGTATGTATGTATGTATGTACATATGTATATGTATATAAATGTTTAAAAAACGGACCATGCTATAACATGGGAATAATGCTAGGAAGTATATATGTATATGTGTGTGTGTGTGTGTGTGTGTGTGTACACACAAACACATATACAAGCATACACATATATGCATATGTACATATATATATATATATATATATATATATATATATATATATATATATATATATATATATATATGTCCTTGGTTATTCGGGTTTTCTCCCACGTAAAATTGGAAGTGTCTTGGCGACGTTTCGACGAAGTCCCATTCGTCATCTTCAGGCTGGTGTTTTCAGCTTCGTGCTCCTTGAAGTGTGTTGATTGTTTTTTTGATGCACCCTATCGGCCCAAATATGGGAGGAAGAAATCTTTTCCCTGTTTTAGCTCAGTCTAGAGCTGTCCATAGGCAGGCAGTCGCTACTGCGACATCGTTTGTATTTCCTAAATTTTTGGATTGCTAACCAAGAATTAAGGGGGACTGGGATAGCTATTTCGAGCTGATTAGCTGTCATCAGCCAGCCATACCCTTCTGAGGTTCGAATCTCAGAAGGGTATGGCTGGCTGATGACAGCTAATCAGCTTGAAATAGCTATCCCAGTCCCCCTTAATTCTTTGTTAGCAATCCAAAAATTTAGGATATATATACATATATATATATATATATGTATATATATATATACATACACATACACACACACACACACACACACACACACACACACACACACACATATATATATATATATATAAAACGTCTGCAAGAAACCAACCAAGTTCAGAGAGCATGAAGGATCCCTTGTTTCAACCCTGAGTTACAAATATTATTCTTTATTGGCTTGCCATGACGATCATGGTCCTTTCTCTGCCCTGACTCCCATTTTTCATCTTTTTTAGGTTGGATACTATTTCAGAGAGGACCTCCACGTGCCACATGGCACGCTTAGGAAGGCAAAAGAGTGGTTTATCTGCACATGTGTCTTGTGTTTTCATTCCCCCCTTTTTTTCTCATATTCAATTTCTCAGTGCCTTCGGAGTGACCCACGACCAGCAGTGGAAGCTGAAGGAGCAGCAGCTGAAGCTGCAGATCGGTCAGCTTGAGGCGGCTTTAAAGGCAGATTTAGCCGAAAAAAGCAATATCCTGGACAGAATCAAAATGGAACGAGGTACACCAACTGCCTGCGCCAAGCGTGAGGATTTGTTTTCAAGTTTTAAGTAATGGAGAACATCCAGGAACATAGCAAAGGTGCTGTGTGCCAGGTCAGGTTCTTCATCTCTGCTGTCCAAATTATTTTTTGACTAGCTCAGAGTGAAAGTTGAGACCATTCTTCCTGTCTCTCGCTACTAAATCATTTTAACCAGTCATAGGAACCCAAATTGTGGACCTCTGGTCCAAAGTCCTTGATCTACCTCTTGAATCCCACAGTTTGGCCTCAGGTGCCCTGAATAGACAAAGCCAGAAGGGTCTTATAGGATATAAATGCAACAAAACCATCAATAGGCTATGCTGGTCTCCCCTTTCTCTTTGGGTGGAAGGCAGGGGATAATGTTGACATGAGAAAAGGCCCAATTATCCCTGACCCAGACACAATCAAAGCTGTTACACACACACACAACCCCACCCCCAGGATTATATATTTTTGTGTAGCTTGGATTTCCCGAAACAGCAGCGAGGATGTAAATCTGGACCGAATTGTAGCAGAACTGCAGATAGGAGCTGGCTCTCTCTTTGCAAATCCCTCCTCCCCATCCTCTCCTAAAAGGGGACCCCAGCTTTGCTTCTAATAATTGCCATCTCTTAGAGCATTGCAGAACCCTGAGTAAATCACCGCTAAGGAAATAATAAGTTGGTTCTGGAGCTGATTGCCTGCTTCAGCTAAAGTCAGTGAACAGAGCAAGCGCGCCTCTCTTGGTTCGTTCGCTCTTGATTTCATTTACCGTTTGTCGGAGAGCCCGTCTGAAACTTCACAAATTTGTTTAGACAGTAAGAACTGTTTTGATCCCTTGCCTGTTCCCCACTCAACTGCCCTCCCCCCCAACGCACACCCCGAGACACACTTTGCTCTCTTCAGTTTTACAGAATAGCTTCAGGTTTTATTATCCTCTCGACTGGAACATTTCAATGAAGTTTTAATGCTGAAATTAATTGCAGGCTTACGAGCCTTTTTTGTCTTCCAGTTCTTTGCAACGTGGAATGCATGGGTCAGCACCTTCCCTGTATTGATTACAGATGATGATATTAGCCCAAACAGGTTTTGACAGCTGTTTGTTTTATCGGTAGATTATCTTAATCTTTGTTTTCTTAAGCGCCTGTTCTTTTATGAGCCTAAGGACTCTGTGCTTGGGGTTGAACCTTGTTTTGAATTAAAGCCGAATCCCACCCCCAGAAGCTAGATTCCTGCCTTGGAAGCGTTTCGTAGATGAATAATGGAAGTTTTCTTAACACTGTTTGTGGAGTTCGTAATGCTGTCAAGTACCAAATTTGATGACTTTCAAAGCAGTTGAGCGCCAAGGTGCCACTGTACCCTCTTGAGTTATTTTGCATTCTGCTTCCAGTACAGTTCCCTAGGCTGCTGTCCGATCGATCAGTTCTCTAAAAAAATTACCCTGGTTTCCACAGGGCTATGAAAGTTTTCTTTCTTAGCTCTTGGATTCAAATCCATCTAGCAGAGGGGTCCCCAATCCCCAGGCCACAGCCCAGTATTGGTACTGGACTGTGGCCCGTTTGGAACCGGGCCACACAAGCTGCAGACGAGCGGGCACACACAGTTTCACCTGCGCGAGTGCCCGCTGCTCATGGTAGTTGGAGCTGCGCGCATGAGCGGGCCTGCCGCTTGCCCCATTTCCTCTCCCTGGCCCCCCACGCCAGTCCGCAAAGCCGGAAAAATTGGGGACCGCTGGTCTAGGGCAAAGTGATGGTTGAAACACAGCGTTGCATGTGATACGTATTACTTAACCTAAATGTGTTGCAAGTAGACCCGAAGAACCACAGGTGGAGTTCCTCAGATTCTGCTAGGTGCAAAAAAAAAAAAAAAGTCTTTCCCCCCCCTCCCTTTTGAGACCAAACTGAAAAGCTGGCCCAGGAGAATCAGGAGCTACGAATGCGCTGTCTTGAGCAGAAGCAACAGCTGGAAGAGCTGAAGGCCCGCGTGAATTTTTTCACCAAGGTGATTTTTTTTTTCCTCCTTGTTTAGAGAATGACTAAAAAAAAAAAAAGGGGGGGGGAGCTTTCTATATTTTATGCAAATGCTTCTTTCTTAAAAGCCCAAACCGAGTAACTGAGGATATGGCAGTGTTCATTTATTCATGCTGTCCAGCCAGATGTCATGTTTTATGTCAATGCAAGAGAGAGAGTCTCCCTCCATTATTCATTTCTTGAAGAGACCCTTCTTTTCTGTCCTCTCTCTGTTTCAGGAGAATGATGCTGATGTGGCCGAACTCAATGAGGATCTCACACTTCTGAAGGTAACTAGCACAACTGGTGTCCCAACCCCCCTTGTCAAGTTCTTTCTGTTCTCACCCAATATGATCCTGAAAACATCTGGGTTTTTGTTTTGTTTTTTTAGATGAGTTTTTTCTCATGCTTTGTTTGCAAGCTCATGTTTGTTTGTTTGTTTTTTGCTTGAATAGTGTCCACTGTGTCGTTCCTTTTCTCCGAAAAAAAAACCCCAGAAAAGGTAGCGGGATAAAACACATTAATGTTGTGTATGCATTTTCCATTATGACAACGGAAGTCAAATTACCTCAAATCTACCCAGATTTGCTTCAAGAATCTTCTCCAACCTGAAGATCCTTAACATTGTGGGCTTTCCGTAACCACGTTATCCCCACTGCAGGCTTCATCACACCAACTCTGCAGATTGTTTAGGGTGGAAACAAATTCTGAAAGCTTTTAGGTTGGATGAGAAGAATTGACTTTTCTTGAACAAGTATAGATAAGTTTCTAATGGAGAGGTAGTCTTTCCCCTCTTTAATGAAACCCAATTGTTATTAAAGTATTGGCCTTATAGCAATCTCTTCCATAAGAAAAACTGGTGGGTAGGTGGGTTTTCCCTCTCCACAAAAATGAAGCTTTCTTAGATAATATTTTTTTCAGGGAAAAGCGAACTAATACCAAGTGAAATCAGTGTGGGTGAACTTTCTGTTCCTTGAAGTTGAGTTGCACTTGAAAATTTCTCATTGTGTTGTTTCAGATAAAGATAGATAGATAGATGATAGATAGATAGATAGATAGATAGATAGATAGATAGATAGATAGATAGATAGATGATAGATAGATAGATAGATAGATAGATAGATGAATATATAGATGAATATATAGATTAATATAGATATAGATATATGGAAAGCACATGCCTGAATCATCTTGGATGCACCAACCTTAAATGTAGCAATTCTACAAGCACAACATCTTTTTCTCATTATTTTAGACCTATGTTTAACATCAGATTCAACAACAAAGTCATTTGCAGCACCTTGGAAAGGCTAATAAATCTGGCATAGCTTCACCCCACCTGACATTTTCCAGATGTGTACAATCTCGATTTCCATAATTTGCAGCCAGCCCCGCCAGTGAGAATTATGGGAATTTTAGGTCAGCAGATCTAGAGAAATGCTAAGTTAAGGAAGTGGGGAGAATCTGTCCAGGGCCCTTCCACCTGATTAGGTAAATACCACATATATAGTATGTTTTGTGTGCATCTCAACTGACGCGCACACAGATATAGAAAATTGACAGAACGGAGTTTATAAATTGACAGAACTATTAATTCCCATGACTGGGAGATTTGCAACTCAGTTTGCAATACTAACTAGAGGTAAATTCTGTTACCTTAGATATGCAGAAATTTGCAGCCTCAGTTTTTATCTACAGATACCATACCAGCTCTCATTGAAATGACTCTTGAATTCCTTTGAACTCGTTTGAAACTTATTTCTGAATAAAGATGTATAGGATTTGGCTCAAAGCAGATTGCTAATTAGTTCTGAGCTGCCTTCCTTTTTTTTTTTCTGCAGAGCACTGAGATATACAGAAGCTTGGTCTTTCAACACAGATTTATTTTAATGCTGAAAAGAGAGAGGTCCATTTATTACAATTAAAATAAAAGGGTTTTTTTTTTAATAAAAAAAACTAATTATAAAGCTGTCAACTTTTATGACCTAGGTTCATAGACAGCAAGCAAGTGGGTTTTTGGAGAAAGTACAAGATGACAGCCATAAGGATTTAGAGCGATCCCTGCGTGATCTTCAGGCGGTTCATGCAGAAACTGTTCAAGAACTTGAAAAGACACGCAATATGTTAATTGTGCAGCATAAAATTAACAAAGACTATCAGGTACTTAATTTTCTCACTGTAGCTGAACGTGAAGTATCTCTGTCATTGTGCTTGCCTCATTTTTTTTTTTTTTGAAAAAAAAAAATCTCATGATGAAGATTAATGAATCCAATATTTTATGTGGTAACTAACCAAATCTTAATGAGCTGAACTCTACCAGAGTTCACTCTTGAAATAAACTTTTCATTTAACTGTGTAACTCCAGCGTGCGTCACCCCTCCCCAGTTTTTTTCTAGCAAGTAGTTTATATGCGAAAAAGACTGTGGTTTGCACACCAGCACCCCCAGCCTAATTAAATTAAATGTTTGGGTCTACTGAAGCCCAGCAAATAAAGGGATCTGAAAAGTCAGGTTTGGTGGTGGGGATAAATGGCTTCATACTAAGATTGCATTGTACAAACAAACATAAAGTCCATATTTTCCCAAGCCAGGCCCTATTCGAAATATATTCAGGCATCAGTCATAACTACTTCTTGCATTCTTCGTATCCTTCTGTTTCCTCAAGAGAAAGAGTGAATTTCCCTAATCCTACCACCAACCCAAAGAAGTATAGAAGGTGTCCAATGTATCTGAGCTTCACTGTTTTCTTGAAGACATTTCATTATCCAGCTAGGTAACATCATCAGTGCTAGGGTGACCTGTGTGTCTACAGGACGAATCTTGTCCAAGTCTATCGGATTTTGCAGGAAATGTTTCCCAGTGAATGAAGGACAAAGCTACCCTTCTCGTCTCCGTCCTCCTGAATAATTATGAGCTAATTTGTCACAGAGAGACAATTTTATCCCCAATTCAATTCCGCCGAGTTTGGGTTTTCTTTCATTTTCTTATTTCTGAGTAGTAGAACTCAAAAAGTTTAGGGAATTTCATCTCCTCCCCCCGAAATGAAAGCCCGTGGCATTTGGCTTCTCTCTGTGTGGCATCCTGTGAGTTTGGTGTTTTCACATTTTGATTCATAATGTGAGACACATAGAAAAGGATGCAGAATCGGGGATTGGCCCTTGCTTGCAATTAGACTTTTTTTTTAAATTTCCAGAATGGAATTTAGTACCTCAAAGAGGCTTGGGAAGATCAAAAATTTGACTTAACTGTCCCTCCGCCAGTCATTTTATTTGTAAATATCACCCAGACCCTCTCCGTGAGGGAGCTGGGCGGTTTCTAAATTCGATAACTGAATAACTAAACAAATTCCAGCACTTGGGAAAAAATGATGGCTTCGTCGTATTGGGGGAAAGGGCCTTCGTCGGCGAACTCTGCTTGGCGCAAAGCATGGACGGTGGGCCTAACGCTCTGTTCTTCCTCGCATCATCAGGCGGAAGTGGAATGCGTGACACGAAAAATGGAGGCCGCGCAGGAGGATTATGAGTTCAAACTGGAACAGTACGTCCACCTCCTTGACGTTAGAGCTGCCCGTATCCGAAAATTAGAAGGTATATCGGCCAGAATTCCGATTTTACCACACAAAGTACCGTAGGAGGGAGGGGAAAAAATTAGGAAAGGAGATGAAGGGTTCACTCGTGACCACCTATTCGATTGTGTTTCACTGGTAAAAAACCTGGGAAATACAGGTAGGCCTCAACTAGCAATCGTTCGTTCAGTGGCCGTTCGAAGTTACGGCGCTGAAGAAAGTCACCTACGGCCGTTTTTCAAGCAAAGTCAATGGGGGAAGCCCTGTTTGCTTAACCACCGAATGATTCACTTAACAACGGCAATAATTACACAACAGTGGCGAACAGGTTGCAAAATGAGGCGCAATGGGAATTTTGGGCTTAATGGGGGTTGTATGTATAAAAGAGCATTTAAGAATACAGAATAACAAGAGTTGGAAGGGACCTTGGAGGTCTTCTAGTCCAACCCGCTGCCTAAGCAGGAGACCCTCTATCATTTCAGACCAGTGGCTGCCCAGTCTCTTCTTAAAAGCCCCCAGTGTTGGAGCATCCACAACTTCTGGTGGCAAGCTGTTCCGCCGGCTGATTATTCTTACTGTCAAGAAATTTCTCCTTACTTAGGGTTCAGAAGACTCCTGTTTCTGCTTGTCACTTGTCTCCTTGTTAAGTTTTCTAGTTTCTTTTAATGCACGTGTCATGCATCCCTCTAAATCAGGGGTCCACGGCCATGAGCAGGCCGTGACCTATTCGCAACCGGGCTGCTTGAGTTGACTGGCCAGCACGCACACTCGCAGGCTAACTTGTGCTCGCTCACACAAATGAAGCTGCGCACGCATGCATGTGTGCCCTTGCCCCTTGCACAAAACCTTCCCCTCTTCCCCTCCCAACCCTCCCAGAGTGGGCCACCAACTCTGAACACCGCTGGAAATTATGGATCGGAGGGTTAGAATCGCAAATTCTGAGGAAGCAGCAAGGAGAAACCCAAAGGTGCTTTTTTTTCCCAGAGGCAATTGAACTTCCCTTGTTTTTCTTTTGAAGTCATTTCACTTCTCATCCGAGAAGCTTCTTCAGCTCTGACTGGAGGGTGGGGAGTGACAGCATCTACCACTCCCACTCATCTACCATCCAGACCAGGGGTAGGCAACTTGGGCTCTTTTATGACTCGTGGACTTCAACTCCCAGAATTCCTGAGCCAGCTATGCTATGCTGGCTCAGGAATTCTGGGAGTTGAAGTCCACGAGTCATAAAAGAGCCCAAGTTGCCTACCCCTGATCTAGTCAGAGCTGAAGAAGCTTCTTTTGGAGGAGAAATGAAATGTCTTCAAAAGGAAAATAAAGAAAGCACCTTTGGGACAACCATGAGCAGAATGACAGAGAATCTCCATAGCAAGGAAGAATTTAAGCTCCTTCCCCAATGAGTTCATGTCTGCCTCTTCTTCTTTGCCTTTCCAGCCCAGCTGAAGGATATCGCTTACGGTACCAAACAGTACAAGTTTCGACCAGAGGTGACGGCTGACGAGCCTGTGGATGACTTTGACGAAACTGCTCATTTGGAAAGAGGAGAGAACCTCTTTGAGATCCACATCAGCCGGGTGGTATTTACCCCAGAAGCGGCTGCATCTTTTGGTGACCAAGAGCCCGTCACGTTTTGTACTTACGCCTTCTACGATTTCGAACTACAGACCACTCCGGTGGTTCAAGGGCTCAGCCCGGCCTACAATTTCACATCGCAGTATCTGGTGCGGGTGGACGATGGCTTTTTGCAGCATTTGCAGAAGGGCGCCACCACCCTGGAAATCCACCTCGCTCACGGCGTAGACTTTGAAACGGCGGGGGCTTGCCAGCTGAGATTCCACGAAATTCTAGAAAAAAACGGTAGAATCTGCGGTTCCGCCATCTTGGTTGGTAGGTGTCGCTTGTGGATGGGGAAGTTGCATTTTTGATTGCTTTGGTAACTGTGTTTAGAAACAAATGTTACGTATTTAGCAACCAGCTTCAATGATTACCTAGATCAGGGGTCCCCAACCCCTGGTCTGTGGAGCGGTACCGGGCCGCGACATGCCAGCAACCGGGCCGCACAAACAAGCAAAGCCCCATCCGTGAGATGCAGGCAGCACACAAAACCACGCACCCTCCGGTCCGTGGAAAAACCTCTCTCCACGGAACCGGTCCCTGGTGCCCAAAAGGTTAGGGACCTTGACATAGATCACTATGTTCCAACATAGGCACAGTTAGGAAATGTTAAGTTGAGGTCAGCCTAAATCCATCTGGTGAGTTTTGGCAAATGAGTGATTTCATAATTTGGAAAAGGAAGACACAAGATTGGAGTCCTGTGCACTTGTACTCATGATTAAGTTATGCGGATTTCAGCGAAGCTAATCCATGAATTAGTGTCACTGATCATGCGTTTATAAATGCGTGTTTACCAGCTTGTGTTCACATGAGAAAAAAAGAACCAGCCCTTCTTTTGATATAACTAGAGAAAATTGGTTTTAATGTTGACATAAATTAAGTAGCTAAATCAATTCCATGCTGCTATCATTTGGATTGGTTGAAGAACGTTGGTGCGCAACAAAATATTATGGAGAAGTTGGAGAAAAGGGGTAATAGACGTTTGTTAATTACAAATGCCTCCATTTTTATGTTGTATTATTTCATGTACAAGCCAGGTTTTGTTTCAGTAATGCCCTGGCAATAAGAAATTGCCAATGTAGTCTGCATAATTATGGCCTATTTAAGGTACATGACCCTTTTAGATTGAAATAACATTATTACAAAGCATTAAAATAGGCTCTAACAGAAAGCATGAATTTGAATCCATCAATAATTATTTATTCATCCTATTAAATGGCTAGAAGAATATTGACAAAGTCAAATGTTGTTCATGCTTATGGGTCTGACAAAACTGCTTTCGTATAAGAACCATTGAAGAGTGAATTACATTTATTAATGTAAGATTGTCCATATTCTAGGCCAGACAACTTTAAGACTTGTGGACTTCAAAGAGCAACAAAGATGATTAGGGGACTGGAGGCTAAAACATATAAGGAACGGTTGCTGGAATTGGGTATGTCTAGTTTAATGAAGAGAAGGACGAGGGGGGACATGATAGCAGTGTTCCAATATCTCAGGGGCTGCCCCAAAGAAGAGGGAGTCAAGCTATTCTCCAAAGCACCAGAAGGCAGGACAAGAACTAATGGATGAAAAGAGGGAAGCCAGCTAGAACTAAGAAGAAATTTCCTGACAGTTAGAACAATTAACTAGTGGAACAACCTGCCTCCAGAAGCTGTGAATGGTCCAACACTGGAAGTTTTTAAGAAGAGACTGGACAGCCATTTGTCTGAAATGGTGTAGGGTTTCTTGCCTGAGCAGGGGGTTGGACTAGATGACCTCGAAGATCCCTCCCAACTACTACTACTACTACTACTACTACTTCTTCTTCTTCTTCTTCTTCTTCTTCTTCTTCTTCTTCTTCTTCTTCTTCTTCTTCTTCTTCTTCTTCTTCTTCTTCTTCTTCTTCTTCTTATTCTTCTTCTTCTTCTTCTTCTTCTTCTTCTTCTTCTTCTTCTTCTTCTTCTTCTTCTTCTTCTTCTTCTTCTTCTTCTTCTTCTTCTTCTTCTTATTATTATTATCATCATCATCATCATCATCATCATCATCATCTCCCATGCTGGCTAAGGAATTCTGAGAACTGAAGTTCACAAGTCTTAAAGTTGCCAAGTTTGGAGACCAAACTTGGCCTAAATAGCAGAGCACCCTATCTTAACTCCAGCGTGCAGTTTTTCCCATTATGACACTGAGATCCCACGAAAGCCAAACCCCAGCCTGTGTTTAATGACTGATCATCTTGTCCTTAGAGAGAGCAGCTTGGTTGAAATAGTTAAATCTCAAAAAAAAAAAAAAAAATATGGCACAATGACTGCCAACAATGTTGACGATCTTGAGGCTGAAATTTTTGACCTTGCAAATGTCCATGAACTTTGACTTGTAGGCGTTGGAAGAGAAGTTCAGAATTATGGCACGGTGGAATATTGGGTCAGGTTAAGAGTTCCCATGGACCAAGCGATCAGACTGTACAAGGAACGTGCCAAAGCCCTTGGCTACATCACAGCAAATTTAAAAGATCAAGCAAGTATCAGGGGTTGTTGTTGTTGTTTAGTTGTATTACTGTTGTTGCCTCAAGAACACTTCTCTTCCTGTATCTTTGGTGATGCTGCAATCGCCAAAGCATGTTGCTTTGTTTAAATTTCACAGCTTCTAGAGTTGTTCACTGTTTTTTCAAGTCCTATTCTACCTTGGTGGCAATCCTTGTGTGTGTGTGTGTGTGTGTGTGTGTGTGTGTGTGTGTGTGTGTGTGTCCTTCCAGCTACACCAGGATCTACTGCAGATGTTCCTACTGATTGTTTTATCAACATGGCTAAAGATTCAGATTATTCTGATTTGAATACGCCCTACCCTTTTCCACCGGAGTGATTTTTACTACGATTACAAGCTATGTCAATTAGAAATGGGATGCAATGGAGCCTAGTGATAGATGTTCACCTTTGCACTTAAAAAAACAAAAACAAAAAACAGAAACATAAATTTATCTCTTTTTTTCCCTCCTTCTTGTTAAAATAGCCTGCACTCAATCCTCTCCAAGGCAGCCCTTCAATAGATGGAAACTTAAATGAGCTCCATATTACTGTAAAAAGTTGTAACGATTTGCCGGGCCGAAAGACCAACCTCCAGCCAAGTCCTTACGTGGTTTATAAGTTCTTTGACTTTGCTGATCACGATACGGCCATCGTTCCCAGCAGCAACCAACCTCAGTTTGACGACCACATGGGCTTCCCGGTGCCAATGAATGCTGATCTCGACCGTTATCTGAAATCTGAATTTTTGAATGTCTACGTCTTTGATGACGGGGAAACAGAAGAGGGGGTTTACCTAGGAAAAGCAAATGTTCCTTTAATTTCATTGGCCCATGGTAAATCCATTTCAGGTAAGATCCTGCCCCTTTGCTAAACCGGATCTTAAGTTGGGCAGCTCATTCTTAATCTTGTCCTAACAAAGGAGAATATTTTGTAGGTTAGGATTGAAACGAGGGATCCTTGGTGCTCTCTGAGCTTGCTTTCTTGCAGACGTTTCATGACCCAAACTATGTAACATCGTTAGTGCTAGAAGGGAGGGGTGTGTGCTGATGATGTTATCTAGTTTGGGTCATGAAACGTCTGCAAGAAAATAACCCAGCTCAGAGAGCACCAAGGACTGCACAGTCCTCCTCCTTCTTCTCCTCCTCCTCTTCCTCTTCCTCTTCTTCTTCTTCCCCCTCCTCTTCCTCCTCCTCCCTTCTAGCTCTGATGATGTTATCTAGTTTGGGTCATGAAACGTCTGCAAGAAAACAACCCAGCTCAGAGAGCAACAAGGACCCCTCATAAGCTTGTCCTGTTTTGAAGTGGTTTATGTTTTATGGTGCAAACCCCTTTCAAACCTCTTTCCAAGATGAAGGATTATTCAGATATACTTTTAAAAATAAATCTGGGTAATATTTTGATGAAACTGGTCATTCATCATGCTACCTGTTCTCCTAAGGTAGGCCACAGCTATTATGGAAACATATAGTTGGGTTTGTACCTTAACACCAAGGCTGGATTTTTTTTAAAACTAAAAATGGTAAATACCCATCACAATAATCCAAAAGTGATGGGTTAACACCTGCTAAGTCAAAAGTTAACAAAACTGGCTCCGTGATTGCTTTTTAGGTAAACCTGGAAAGTCATTTCATAAGATTGTTGGTGCATTCTGCTGATTTCAGAGTATCCAGTTTAGCAAAGGATCATTTTGATTAATTCAGAGCATAATTGTGGAACCTGTTTTGTCAACTTCTAGAACCCAAATTTTAGGAAGATGAATGACTCATGTTTGCGTTTGATTTTTCAGGGACCTTTGAATTAACAGATTCTGAAGCTCGTCCCGCTGGGACAGTCAACATTGAACTGAAATGGAAGCTGTCTTACCTTCAGCCAGCCAGCTCCATTGTAGCAACAAACCTCACAGATTACATCCAGAATGAGAAACCAGTGAAGGGGCAAGGAGAAGGTCCACTGCTGCCTCCATCTTTCTCATCAGTGATGGTATTCAGCCTTTCCTCATAGTCTAGAGCTGTGTTCTCTTAACAAGCTGCCCTCTAGATAGAAATGTGACTGATGGGTCTTCTAGACCAGTGGTCCCCAACCTTTTCTTCACCACGGACCCCCTTTAAATACCTTTTGTGGCCACAAACCATGGCCACAGACCAGCTCTCCACCACCTGTTTTCCTGGTTACCTTCTGGGAGGAGAGGGTTTTATGGTAGCCGAAACAGAACATCCAGATCTAGAACATCCAGAATATGTATATGTACGAGTGTGTGTATATAGCATGTGTATATGTGTGGCATGTATGTGTATAGGTAGATATATACTTTCTTTTGAGAGCAGACAACAGAATTTCATTTTTAATGTGTTCACAGTAAAAAATAAAGGTTATCCATCCATCCATCCATCTATCTATCTATCTATCTATCTATCTATCTATCTATCAATTAAGTCAAAACATTCTTCTAGCCTTCGTGGACCCCCTGTGATGACATCACAAACCGCCCCCCCAGGAGTCCACGAGCCACAGATTGAGAACCGCTGTTCTAGACCTCACAACACACAGAGGACCTAATTAGGAAATGGTGTTCTCGGTTGCACAAAGACTTCCTTCTCCCTCATTCACTTATCACTTCCTTTCTCTTTTAAATTGGGAGTGACCATCCTGTGGACGACAGGTTACAGTAGCCCCTGATCCCCCTGACGGCAGAGTTCCCAAATTTTGAGATACGTTGGTTACTTTTCTGTTATGATGATTCCCCCTGGCCGAGTTAGGCAAATCAGATTCTTGTGGATTTTGGCGATTCCATTTTGATGCCAGATGTTTTTGTTTTTCATTTTTAGAGGCCACAGCCTAAGCCAAGACAGCGCTTGGCTGCCGTGGACAAGAAAGTCTGTTTTGTAGATATGGACCCGTTGCCAAATTCAGTGAGTATGAACTTTTGCATTGCATGTGCTTGTTTTGACAACAACAACAACAATAATATAAAGTTGGAAGGGACCTTGGAGATCTTCTAGTTCAACCCCTTGCTCAAACAGGAGACCCTATATCATTTCAAACAAATGATTGTCCAATCTCTTCTTAAAAACCTCCAGTGTTGGAGCATTAACAACTTCTGGAGGCAGGTTGTTCCCCTAATTAATTTTTTCTAACTGTCAGGAAGTTTCTCCTTAGTTCTAGGTTGCTTCTCTCCTTGATTAGTTTCCATCCTTTGCTTCTTGTCCTGCCTTCAGGTGCCTTCAGGTACTTTTCCTGGCTGTGTATATTTACAATGCAGCCATTTGTCTTCATACAATTTATTTTGCCTCGGTAAGGACTTTTGTTTTCTTTTGTCGTTGTTAAGGAACCAGAAGTTGATGAGAGGGAGTCAAGAACAAACCACCCCATAGAAGCTCAATTCCATTCGAACTCTCTGCCAAGTGATTTTTTTTTTTAATAACAGGAAATTCATTTTTTCCCCCTTTTCTTTAATTAGTACCCTTTGGCAAAATCTTTCAGGCCAGTGTACAAATGTCTAAGTCACTCTTCCTGTGCTTTAATTCCAATGTAGAGTCCCATTCCTGAAAAAGAAGATAAAAAGACCTTGGAGAAAGCGAAAGACGAAAAGCCTGTACTTTTAAATCGTCCAGAGGTAAGAGGCAATTCCTTTTAATCAAGTCTTAAAACAAAATACATTGAATTTCCATTAGATACGTTGCATCCAAAGCATAAGCTGATGGTATACGTGACTGATTCAGTAATCTGTTTTTGTTTTTTTTTTAATTGCTTTGATTTGGCCTCAGCACCAGACTTGTGCATTGCTGATGAGATTGTAACAAACTCTTCTTTTTCTTCTTCGGGTGTAGAAAAATAATTTTGGGTGTCTTATTTCATGTGGCGTTTTCATTCTCTACGGCGGGCTAGTGGCAATCGATTAAAATCTTTATTGAATTCTAAAGATGGTCAACTTCCGCCCAGCTAGCTAAATGGGAACAGACCTGATTATTTTGGGATCAGTAACACTGTAAATCAGACAAGAAAATCTAAAAACATCTTGGAAGAAGGAAAGAGGAAAACATTTGAACTTGTTGTGAAGAAGAATGTTGCAGAAAGTCGGTAGGATTCAACTCAGCTAGAGGAAGCTTTATCATTTTGAAAAATAATGACCTGCTCCAGTCTTCTCTATGTCTTATTATCGTCAGTATCCAAGGCAACTCTGAGCTTTTAAATCAGTGTCTCCCAATCTTGGAGACTTTAAGATAGGTAGACTTCAAGATATGGCTGGCTGGGAGTTGAAGTCCACCTATCTTAAAATTGCCAAGGTTTTGGAAACACTGTTCTAAGTGCTTTGGAAAAAATCTCAGCAGATTGACCAAAATAAAGCAAGGATGTAGGGGAGGGTGAAATGTTTTTTTCTGTTTTGCTAGCACTGGCTGAGGAATTCTGGGAGATGACGTCCACAAGTCATAAAAGGGCCAAGTTTGAAGACCCCTGTGCTAGAAGATTGACCCCAAAAGGGTTAAAAGAGATTTGACTGTTCCTATTTACGACTAAATCACTCTCCCCAAGAAACTATTTGACAAATAGTTCTAGCTTGGTTAAAAATTGAACGGGAAAAAGAGAAATTGGATTTTGCAAATTGAATGTTGGAGGGAATGGTTTTAGAAGGAGCTACGAGACGTGTTCTGTCGTATGTCAGGGATGGGGAACTATAGCCCTTTTATGACAGGTGGGCTTCATCTCCCAGAATTCCTGAGCCAGCCAGCCAATTTATCATGCTGGCTCAGGAATTCTGGGAGCTGAAGTCCACCAGTCATAAAAGGGCCATACTTCATACTATGCCTCTGTCATACCTGATAGAACGAAGAGCAGACTCTAAGATAGATCTACCTCTATGGATTTATTGAACATGGCATATTCAGCAAAGGCTCCCTAATAACAAAAGTATAGGATTAGAGACTCTCGTGGTTTTTTTCTAGCTACTGCAAGGACTGGATACATTTAACAATGTAATTCCCTCCCCTCACTTTGATTTTAAATTCGTTTTATAGACGGTACGGATGCCTTATTTGTCCGTTTGAGCATTCTGAGAATACGACACCACAAAGTTAACCTTTTCCCACTGCCAATTCACACCGATCCTTTTTTTTTCATTCGTTAAAACCGGCTCTAAATTCTAACATCAGAATCTCGATTGGGTCGATGAATTGACATTAACTCTTGTCCTCCCGCTCGGGCTGAAGGCTCTACGAGAAACAGATGCTGACGGCGGACCAAGCAAACCACCTGCAACCGAGATGCCCCAAGAACAGGAGGACCTCTCTCAGCTGTCGGAAGGCCAGCTGGCCGACCAGAGTTCAGTTACGTCAGAAGACCAGACCGAAACCGAGGAAGTGGAAACAGAAGGTAGAGATCGAGCCGAGCAGCTCCACCTCGGTTGATCGTTTCCATTTCCAGCTGAAAATTCTCCTTCTTTTGTCTACCTTCGTGCATTGGCTTGGCCCTACACCGCGCACAGGCAGATCCTCGCTTTACGACCGTAATTGAGCCACCGTCGTTAAGCGAATCGCTGCAATTGTGGTTCAGTTAGCGACCCAGTTGCCGTTAGTCGTTTAATTGAACCTGGCTTCCCCCATTGACTGTGCTTGTCAGAAGGTCCCCGGGATCACTGCAGCTGTCATAAATGGTACGGGGGGGGTCTCCTGCTTGAGAGGGGGCTGGACTAGAAGACCTCCCAGGTCCCTTACAGCTCTTTTCTGATTGATTGATTGATTGATTGACTGATTGATTGAAATATGAGTCAGTTGCCAAGTCAGTTGTCTGAATTTTGACCACGTGACCCTGAGGATGCTGCCACAGTTGTAAGGGTTAAAAAAAAATGGACATAAGGTACTTTTTTTAGTGCCGTTGTAAGTTCGAACGTTCACTAAACATACTGTTGTAAGTCGAGGATGATCTGTATAAGTATTTTCGATAACTGTCCACGGAGATTCTCAGTGTCTAAGTCATGGTTGTCGCAAAGGTGCTTTTTCAAGAGGCAACTGGACTGAAGGACTGGAGAAGCTTCTTGAGTGAGAAGCGAAACGTCTTCAAGGAAAAACAAAGGAAGTCCAGTTGCCTTTTTAAAAAAGAAGCACCTTTGGGACTATTTTAAAGAACCACAAATTCTCTTGAGACATAGAGTGTGAATTGGCCAGCACAGGTATAGCCCCAGCAATTGCTTTGATAAAGTTATTTCATATCTTCTCCTGCCACCTGTTAGATATCAAGCTCCAAAAAAAATAATCCAGTAAGTTTTATACTTAAGTGAACGGGTCCCATTCGCCTGTGATTCCTACCTTAGCAGAAATGGTTGCCTTGCTAACATCTACCCCAAAAGCTCTTTCCTTCCTTCAAATGCGAGAGAAATGATGACTCTTCAGGGACTCATTTTTTAGAACGCAACTGCTGTAAAAGGGAAGAAAAAGCCACGGTTGCCAACCATTTTCCCTGCTTTGGTGGCGGGTTTTGGGCCATAAATTATTCCACTGTTCCTGGAGGAGAAGACACAGAATAGCAAACGTTCCTTTTCGGAGCATCCGTCCATTAAGCTATTTATGTCATTCTAATTGCCTCTCCTTGGAAGTGTCACCATCATTAATTCCTCTGGCAGTTAAGCCATCCATCATTATTACGACCGGCAAATCAGACCCAAAGCTACAATGGAACCAGGTCCCAGCAGACGGTGCGCGTATGTGAAAACAAGCTCTGGCAAGCCAGAGGAGAACCCTTTTGACCAAGGCGGTGCCAAAGTCACCATGAGAAAGGCAGTCATAGAAGATTACAAGCCCACCTCACCGTGGGAACCGGTGGGCTGTTCCTTCCAGCTTGTGGGAAGGTCCCACGGTTCTGAATACTCTCTGGATGTCCCTAGTACAGTCCATATTAGGTTGGTGGTCCATACTGAACCTTAAAAGAAGTGGGCGGGTGTTTTATTTATTCATTTCATTGGGAGTGAACTGTAATCTTGAGTATCTCCGAGATCAGAATGACGAATAACGGAGTTGGAAGGGACTTTGGAGATCTTCAGTTCAACCCCCTGCTTGAGCAGGAAACCTTATAACATTCCAGACAGATGGCTGTCCAGTCTCTTCTTCGAAACCTCCAAGTGATGGAGCACCCACAACTTCTGGAGGCAGGCTGTTCCACTGATTATTTCTTCTCAGTGTCATGAAATTTCTCCTTAGTTCTAGGTTGCTTCTCTCCTTGATTAGTTTCCATTCATTGCTTTTTCTCCTGCCTTTAGGTGCTTTGGAGAATAGGTCAACTCCTTCTTCTCTGTCTCAGCCTCTCAAATATTGGAAGATTGCTATCACATTGCCCCCCCCCCCAGTAGATCAAAGTATCTCCAAAATCAAACGTAGAACAAGAAGTTGCCACAGGGGTTCAGGGGTTGCCTCAAAGAAGAGGGAGTCAGGTGATTCTCCAAGGCACTGAAGGCAGGACAAGAAGCAACGGATGGAAATTAATCAAGGAGAGAAGCAATCTGGAACTAAGGAGTAATTTCCCAACAGTTAGAACAATTAATCAGTGGAACAACCTGCCTCCAGAAGGGGTGAATGCTCGAACACTGGAAGTTTTTAAGAAGAGACTGGACAGCCATTTGTCTGAAATGGTGTAGGTTCTCCTGCTTGAACAGTGGGTTGGACTAGAAGACCTCCAAAGTCCCTTCCAACTCTTTTATTATTATTACTATTAAGTAGCTGGGTGAATCTAAAACAATTTAACTCCCTTTGATTGGTCAATGATGTGTTTTGTCTGCCTGGAAAAGCCATGGTCCATTGTTGCTTGGAACCGTAACCTGTTTAGCTTTCCTATTCTGCAGTTCGTCCTTTTCTTTTATAATCTCAACTGTGGTTATCTTGGCTAACCTTTCCTTTTTTGCCACAGATCAAGAGGACCAACAGGCCACCGCTGAATCAGTTACCGACAGTGATGACTGTGTGATTCCAAGTTCCGCGTCCTCAAGTCTTATTGAGGTTAGTCAGAACCAAGAAAGAAAAAAGTCCTTCTTCTCAAAGTACTCAAAGCATTCTTCCCCGTGTCCTTAGCAATGTGGTTTTCTTTGAAGAAGTCTGCTTTGAGTTGGATTCCTCTTCTGCATCCTTCTTTGAAACCAGAACTTCGTTGTTGAGGATTTTTGAGGTTGATGTTTGGAAACGGGGATCTGGGGTCACATCAACCATCAGTCTAGACGAGGGGTGTCCAACCTTGACAACTTTAAGTCTTGTGGACTTCAACTCCCAGAATTCCCCAGCCAGCCTTGCTGGTTAGGGAATCCTGGGAGTTGAAGTCCACAAGTCTTAAAGTTGTCAAGGTTGGACACACACCCTGGTCTAGACTGCTAAGGGATTGGCCAGTGTGGTCAATCTAAGTCCTTTATTAAATCCTTTAGGGATTGCCTATATTATGTATTTCATTAATGCAGGTTTAGAATTAATACAGACCTTCCGTTATTTGGGATTGTGTGATCCTAGTTAGTTAACTCATTCCATGCTGCCACGTTTCCTTTGATAATCTGCCCTGAAATATCTTAGCCTTGATAGGATAAAAGTATGGATTTAAAGATAAACAGATGCCCCACAACGGGCAACAACAAAGGCTGTTGTTGACGTGACTGGCTCTTCTTTCTGTCCTGTACTTGGTCAGGATTTTGAAACATTGCCATCTAGAGAAAAAGTGTGTGTGTGGGGGGGGGGAAACCCTCCTCTAGCAAAACTATTATTTTAATAGGTGGAACGGCCTTATGATTAACGGCGTCTTTGGTGCTATCCAGTTCTTCTAAGCCGTAACAATAGGAGCCAAACAGGAAAATTACTCATTCTTAGGCAGCCTTGCAAAAAATCGTGGGGATTGTTGCACTCCATTCTATCGAGAGGGATTTAAGAAGAACAGAACTCACGGGTTCAGAAAGATTCACGTGGGACAATCTGTCTGACTTTTTCCCAGTCCTCTTTTTACAAGGGAAGGTTGTGGGACACTGCCAGGAGGAGAAGAGAAGGAGGAGAAAAAAAAAAAAAAACCCACTCTGATCAGGTATCTGTCATTACAGATAGTCCTCGAGTTACAGTGACAATTGAGCCCAGAGGTTACGTTGCTAAGTGAGAAATTTGTGAAGTAGGTTTTGCCCCATTTTACGACTTTTTCTTGTCACCCACGTTAACTGAATCGCTGCAGTTGTTAAAACGAGTGACACGGTCGTTGGACGAATTCAGTTTGGCTGGTCAGAAGCTCACAAGAGCTGGTCACGTTGACCACCACAGGGAGCACTGCTGCTGTCATAAAGGTGAGTCGGTGGCCAAGCGACCGAATTTGGATCCCGTGACCGCGGAGATGCTGCAGTGGTCCTTCAGGGTGGAAAATGGTCATCGGTCACTTTTTTCAGTGCCGTTGTCACTTAGAATGGTCACTAAATGAATTGTTGTAAGTTGAGGACTATCTTTAGACATGATAGCAGTCTTCCAGTATCTGAGGGGCTGCCACAAAGAAGAGGAGGGGGTCACGTTATTCACCAAAGCATCAGAGGGAAGGACGAGAAACAAAGGTTGGAAACTGACCAAAGAGAGAAGCAACCTGGAACTAAGGAGAAACTTCCTAACAGTGAGGACAATTGACCGGTGGAACAGCTTGCCACCAGAAATAGTGGGTGTCTCCATCACTGGAGATTTTTAAGAAGAGACTAGACAGTGACTTGTCTGAGATGGTATAGGTTCTCCTGCTTGAGCAGAGGGCTGGACTAGAAGACCTTCAAGGTCTCATTCTATTCTATTCTATTCTATTCTATTCTATTCTATTCTGTCCCTATTTTCATATTCTATTCTATTCTTATTTCTAATTCTATTCTATTCTATTTCTTATTCTATTCTATTTCTTATTCTATTCTATTCCTTATTCTATTCTATTTCTTATTCTGTTCCTTATTCTATTCTATTCTATTCTATTCTATTCTATTCTATTCTATTCTATTCTATTCTATTCTATTCTATTCTACTGTTTCTGTTTCTATTTCTATTATTTATTTGACTTGCTGCAATATCAGGACAAACTGGTGTACACACAGGCGTTAAATTAACAACCGGGCCTGATGTTTCTCTCTTTTTGCAACCAACGAGGATACGATACGGTTATGAAAAAAGAACTCGGGCAAATCCCTGGGTATTTAAGCAACTGGTGGAAGAAAGACTGCCTTACATGAAGGTAAATCCCCTGAACTCAGGGGACTTGCCTCAGATTAGTGGGAATAATCCAGTTAAAGTTAACTACTTCTAAATCCCATTGATTCCAGTGTGTCAATATGAAAAATGGGCTTCAGCGCTCCACTTGAAATCAATAAGAGTTAAGTATTCTTAACTCAGGCTCAACGGAGCAAGAAGCTAAATTAAGAGAACTAACTGTACAACGAAGCGAGGCAAGGCAACTGCTCCTGTCTTAATAACTCCGATGTAACATTGCTTTCTACAAGCAGAAATTCTAATGCTCAGGTTGTGACTATTCACTCAGTGCCAAGAAATATATTATTTATGGCTAAGACCTCTAGACACATAGACGTTATCTCAAGGTGATATACTTTCGCCATAAAAATATCTACAAACAGCGTTAACATCTAAAATGTTGAAACCTTCTTAAACTCTCCCAACCGTCCTCGCTTTATGGATGTTGAGTTCCGTCGTCGTTTTGTATCAAGAAGAGTCACAATTTAGACTGGCCCGCTGTTGGCAAGGTTTCTCTACCTTGGCAACTCTGAGGTGTGTGGATTTCAACTCCCAGAATTCTCCAGCCAGCCAAGGTTGAGCCACATAGATCTAATGCAGTGTTTCTCAACCTTGACAATTTTAAGGCATGTGGACTTCAACTCCCAGAATTCCACAGCCAGCAATGCTGGCTGTGGAATTCTGGGAGTTGAAGTCCACATGCCTTAAAATTGTCAAGGTTGAGAAACACTGATCTAATGTAAGACGTAGCCATATAACCCACTTAAAGGCACACGGGGAGAAGCTCAGTGCAATCTGAAAAGGAAGAAATTCTGCAAATAGGACACTAGTAGACCCCAAAAGTGCTGTTTGCCATCAGTATGTCTACGATAAAGGAGTCCGTGTAGCTCAGTGGTTCTCAACCTTTTTAATGCCGCAACCCCCAACCGGTCGTAAGACGAGGATTACTCAACCGGTCGTAAGTCGAGGACTACTCAACCGGTGCAGCACCGTTTGCAGAATGGGACTTTTGGCGGGCTCAGCAGGGCAGAGACAGCCTGGACAATTCCTATTGGCTTTTGAAAGCCAATAGAATTAGACTCTATTCAAGAGAGTCTATTCTATTGGCTTTCAAAAGCCAATAGAATAAAAGGGAGTAGCACAGCTAAGGAAAAGGGGGGGAAAATGGCAGACTGCGTTGTTTGGCGACCCCCGTGAAATGGTCGTTCGACCCCAAATGGGGTCCCGACCCACAGGTTGAGAACCACTGGTGTAGCTGATTCAAGCAGCCATGAAGTTGGACAATCTTCTGGTTCTGCCATTTTACACTGAGGACTAAGCAGATCTTTTTCCCAAGGAAAGGAATAATTCGCTTTCCCATTTTCCTTTGTGTCCATTTGGAGCAATTCCTTAACGGAAAAAAAAAATGTGTCATATCCGAACATGAGCTACGAAGGTGACCCAAACATAATGAATGGAATGAATCAAAGGGTTTTTTGTTGTTGTTGTTGTTTAATGCTCAATTAGCATCAGCTTTCCAGATCTCTTAAAAATCCTGGGAAGGAGAGAACTAACAAGGATTCCTACATAAGGGAACGGTCTTGAAATAGTTAACTATATTCTGTCGCTTTAACGTAGACTGTGATTGAGGAGCTCTGATAAAAAAACCTTTCACGATGATTCGAATACAAGTCCGAATTATGTGTTCTCTTCACTTTCCTCTGTCTGGGGAGAAATCTAGACTTCTTGCAAGCAGAATGTCTTGTGTTTTCTTTCCAAGGAATTGGTACCAAGCTTTGGGAAGGTTCGGGATTATATTCCGTCGGCTTCTGCTAAGCTCAGCTTTGATTTCAGCATCCACTTAATTCGGTAATAATTTGCTCCAATCTAACAGACGCTCTTAGTCCTAGTTATCAGAGTGCTGGAAAAAAAAATATTAATATACCCCCAAAATATTGAAAGATTCTTCTGCTAGTTTTCTCATGAAATCTGAAATAACACACCCCATTGTTTGAGCTATTGCCGATTACGCCTTTCCTTTAAAAAAAAAAAAAGCAGATTACAAATTAGAGCGTCGGGAATTATTTCTTAGATCATAAAAAGAACCTTAACATGTTTTCCTCCAGAATTTAACTTTACAATCTTTTTTCCTCCCCCCCCCTTATACACACACGCACACACGCACACACACACTATCTCTTTTTGTCCGTTATGTATAATTAATCGTAGATTATTTCATTTCGTTTACAACATTTATGAGCTCCACTTCGTCACTACGAAAAGCTTGTCCCCTTCTTTTTCTTTTCCAAAGTGGCGTAATTAGTGTTAGCATCTTTTTCTAGCAGGCTACATAAAGTTTAGTGGCTGGATTAAATCATGTCATTAACATAATGTGCTACACAATTTGCCCCTATCTCTCTGCGTTTCCACTACATCAAAGCGCCAGCGAGTGCCAATGTAATTGGCTCTTGCTAGCTTGTCAGCTTGATTCAAGATGACGACTGGAGCTTTTGCTTAAAAAAAGAGCTTCTAGGCATGATAATTAATGGAAGAAGGAGGAGGTGGGTGGGGAAAATCAGAAAAATGTAAAACTTGGACAGTTCTTTATGAATATTTCATACATGTGAATATAATCAGAAGTTAGCATTATCAATTTGATGTATAATACATTGATTAAAAGCCTTGTTACAGGCTCCCGAGTTAGGAGTGGGGCGTTTGAGAATTTGTATGGGCGTTCAGAAAGGCTAAAATACAGCTGAAATAAAATTAAACAATGCTTGTTCTCATCTCTCCACATCTTCCCGAGATTATTTGAGAACAATATAGCTTTCAATTATCACAATAAAATTTTACTGCTGTCAGCTCTCAAGTTATCTTCAAATGTGCCCGCGGGGAGAGTCTTAGCAAAACCAATTTATTCTGCGGTGGCCTCATTTTCCTCTAGGTGTGTTTATATCTTTTCCCCTTCGTTATAGATAGTCTCTCTTTTTTTTCTTTTTAGCACTAATAGCATTTTAGTGAAAACTGTCATCGTCATTTTCTTTAAATGAGGTTCTAAAAGTTCATAATTAATGTTGACATCCAGCTTCTTTTTTAAAAAAAAAAACAGCTTTCAAAGTCCAGGTGGATGTATCTCTGCTATCCAGGAACATATGTGGGAATTTTTTCCCCCTCCTGCAGTATAGCAAGTAAAATTCGAGGATCAGGGAATTGAAAAGCTTTTATTGATGCATCTGGGGCTTAGGCTATAGGTGGGAGAATAAGATCACTGCAGAAAGTAAGGCCATAACAATGATTGTTTATTATTTGGTTCGACGCACAGTCAGTCAGATGTCCAGGCTGGATTTGGCATTTTGGTCCACCTCTTCTCATAGTCCTGGGATAGGCATTTGTGGTCTTAGAGGTCCCGTTGCAGGATGGAAGCTGTTCCAAGAAAAGCCGTCTTTTGCAATTGACTGATGGTGAATTTGTCAATGCCGATGAGATTCAAGTTGGTGCTCCAGCTGATTTGGGATTGCACCAAAGGCACCTATGACTGTTGGGTCTACCTTTGCTTTCTTTTGCCCCAGTCGTTCTATTTCTCTTTGCAGGTCTTTGCATTTTGTTACCTTCGCCAGTCCCTTCTCTTCTGTTCTGCTGCCTCTAGACTTTTTTTGTCTTTCTTATCGACAAGTCTGGATGACCTTGGACCAGTCCCTTTCAGCCAACCCACCTCACAGGTTTGTTGTTTGTCAGGGGCTGGTAGCCACCAAAAGAAGTCAAGATGGCAGACGGGAGGTCTTTCTGCTTTTTTTTTTTAAAATATGTGTTGTATCCTGCTACTGCATATATTTCTTTATATTTGGACGGCATTTGTAAACCGGTGCCTATACCCGAGCTGCTTTTGACAGCCGAGTTAAGCATTTGTCAGGGAATTACTCTGAATTTCACTTAAAAATACTTCTTATATACACATGCGACAGGAAGCGAAAGAGGCTGTTTCTAAAGTGAAATTAGACAATGGAAGCAATTTCATTTTTTATGCATGTGAATGTAGGGTGCTTGAGGTTATTAGTTGAAACGAGTAACCTTTCCAAGCCTTCCGCCTCTTTTCGAATTTGAATATGAAAAGCATATTCAAGTCAAAGACCATCACTTTAATGACATTTGGCAGTCATTTGATTTATTAGGTTTTTACGAAAAGAAAATTCCTTTAAATATTTCATCATACTATGCTAATCCTGGTAATATAGCCAGCTGAAGCTGTGTACCTGCATTAGCGGAGACAGAACGGTGTGCAATATTTGCTGTCATCCTGGTAAAATTTCCATGACTCTACTGAATAATAAAACAATCTTATTGAAATATTCAGATTTGAGTTTTTAGTTAAGGTGTCTTAGGATACATAATAAAAGAAAATGCCTTTTTGAAAACAGTGGGAGTAAGGTAGCTTCATCCAATATTGAAGGAGGTTGACAGCAAGGATATTGTTCTGTAGGAAGGATATATATTTATTTACGGGGGAAATCCTGGGGTGTTTTCAACAGCTTAATTATAGAATATTCTTCCGAAAAATGTCAGTTGCTATGTCTCACTTGAAAGATGGCATGAATGTTTGGTTTGAAGATAAACCCAGCATTATGGGTTTTTGTTTTTTGTTTTTTACATTGTTTAATTTGGTGACTATTAGTGCAAGGTGAGTGATGGAGATAGAAGCCATCAGATTGCATTTGGGAGAAATCGACTTTCAAGTCAAACGGGAACCCTCATGAGAGAGTTGAGAAGAACTTGACAGTTGAGAACCTCCAAGGTGTTCAGTTTGTTTCTTGAAGAGACAAATTTCACCCTTCAAGTGTTCTTCAGCCGAACCTCATTTTGAAATCGCACAGGTTGTGTGTTCTTTGAAAACCACCGACTTAATGCAGGAGAGATTCCTTGCGTGCTTGTCTTTTAATATTTAACACGGAGTGCCTTCCACCTCGTGGACAGTGTTATTTTGAGCGATAACACGTTAAGTGGATAGTGCAATCAACACGCACATTTTTTTGACACCATCAGAGATTTCCTTTTAATCTTCAAAAAAAATAATAAAATGAAGACATCTTGTAAATGCACGCTCATGTATTAAAGATGGTGATTTTTTACTACACCCAGAAAAGCTAGCGGTTTCAAGGGCACTCATGTTACATGATGATCCGAGAAGGTGTACTTTGTAGAGTGAAAGGTGTGGTGGTTACACCAGAGAGTAGTCCCCCCAGACATAGGTTGGTTTCATGTTTAGTGGATGTACCGTTTAGCAAATGGCGGAAAGAAGTGTAAATGGCAGATCCAAATGGAGGAAAGAAGTGTAAAGGGAGGTAATAATTAAAGAAGAAAAAAATAATTATTTATTATAGGTCACATAAAACATAAGTGGGTTACCTCCTGCAAAGACTGTAGGAATCCCCAAATCAAGACTTTTTTGTAGCTTTGTCACCCAAGACCAGGGCTTTTTTTTGTCATAGAACGCCCAGAACGGAGTTCCGGCACCTTTTTTGGATGGAACCTTGTAGGGTAGGCAAGGCGGGTTGTATGACATGTGTGAGTTCCAGCACTTTTTTTTTTTTTTAGAAAAAAAGCACTGCCCAAGACCTTCTGTGTGACATGTCTGCTTGTGAAACATGGATGGTGATGATGATGTTATCCATTCAGTTGTGTTCAACTCTTGACAATTCTGAATCAGAATCAGAAGAGAGCTGGAAGGGATCTTGGAGATCTCCTAGCTTGAGACCTTATACCATTTCAGACATGTGGCTTAAAAACCTCGAGTGATGCAGGAAAGATACATTTCGGTCTGGAGAAGATGGATAGATTATATTCAGAATAAATATGGGACTAAAAAGTTCCATTTAGTTTATGAGTAAATTTTAGAGTATTATTATTATTATGAGATTATTATAGTAGAATTTTTATTAGTTTTATTATTATTTTTAGTATTAGTATTGTTTAACAATTTGGATATTGTATTGTTTAATAATTAGGATATAAACTTGTTTATATTATTATGTTTACTGGAGTTAAAGCGCATTATGGACTTGGTTAGTTATATAGTTGGTTAATGTTAGTTAGAGTATGATTATTATATTTGTAACCCTGTACTCAGCTCTGGGAAGTGGGGGAGGGAGAGGGGGGGTTTAGGGTGGATGGGTTTTGGGATGTATATTGTAACTTTTATAAAACTTTTCAATAAAAAAAAAACCTCGAGTGATGGAGCACCCACGATTTCTAGAGGCAAGCTGTCCCACTGATTAATTGTCCTCACTGTCAGGAAGTTTCTCTTTAATTCCAGGTTTATTTATTTTATTTATTTATGAGACTTATATACCGCTTTAAGTGCAAGCACTCTCTAAGCGGTGTACACCAGTAAGCAATGTATGTATTATGTATGTATGTATGTATGTATGTATGTATGTATGTATGTATGTATGTATATATGTATATATATATATATATATATATATATATATATATATATATATTTTCTGAGGTTTTCGCGGGTATTTGTATGTAGGTCTTTGGTTGTTCGGGTTTTCTCCCGCGTAAAATTGGAAGTGTCTTGGCAACGTTTCGACGAAGTCACATTCGTCATCTTCAGGCTGGTGTTTTTAGCTTCTTGCTTTGAGCAGCAATGTGTGGTTTTAGCTGTTTCTTCCTGTTAAAAGGAAGAAACAGCTAAAACCACACATTGCTGCTCAAAGCAAGAAGCTAAAAACACCAGCCTGAAGATGACGAATGTGACTTCGTCGAAACGTTGCCAAGACACTTCCAATTTTACGCGGGAGAAAACCCGAACAACCAAAGACCTATATATATATATATATATATATATATATATATATATATATTATATATTTACATTGCCCCCAGCAATCTGGGTCCTCATTTTACCTACCCCGGAAGGATGGAAGGCTGAGTCAACCTTGAGCCGGTGAGATTTGAACCGCTGACCTGCTGAACACAGTCAGCTAAAGCGGCCTGCAGTACTGCACTCTAACTGCTGCGCCACCTCGGCTCAGCAGTTAGAGAGAAGGTTGCTTCTCTCCTTGATCAGTTTCCATCCGTTGTTTTTTGTCTTGCCTCCTGGTGCTTTGGAAAATAAGTTGATCCCCTCCTCCTTGTGGCAGCCACTCAAATACCGGAATACTGCTATCATGTCCCCCCTAGTCCTTCTTTTCTCTAGACTGGCCAGGTCTAGAGAGACCTTCTGTGGGGCCAGGTCTCTCCCCATCTTCCGATCTTGCACTGCTTCTTGGAATTGTTCTTTGCTCTGGCTGGGGTCGGCTTTGATGGTGTCCAGCTTCCGTGTTCTTTGACAGCCTGGTTTCCTTTCACCACTACCTTTTCCAAACATAATTGCTTTCTCCGGTGAATTCCCCAGCATGACATGGCCCAAGTAAGTGAGACGGTGGTGCATTACAAGCAGCAACGGTCCTGTTGTTTGTCTTTAACCAGACTGCGGAAAGAATCCGAATCGAAATAGTGTCGCTCAGCCTCACGGACCGCCAGATTTTGATGGATGAGATGATCCAGCGGCTTTTCATAGAGTCCAAGTTCTCCAGTTTCAAAACAACTGAAACTCCCGTGGCGCTTCCAAAACCCAGAAGCGGGCAGCGGGTGTATTATAACTACAGCCATGGTAGGAATTCATTTAATATTTATTTCATTTCTTCTTTCTGAATCACTGATTTTGTCTTCTTCTTCTTCTTCTTCTTCTTCTTCTTCTTCTTCTTCTTCTTCTTCTTCTTCTTCTTCTTCTTCTTCTTCTTCTTCTTCTTCTTCTTCTTCTTCTTCTTCTCCTCCTCCTCCTCCTCCTCCTCTTCTTCTTCTTCTTCTTCTTCTTCTCTTCCTCCTCCTCCTCCTCCTTCTCCTCCTCCTGCTCTTCTTCTTCTTCTTCTTCTCCTCCTCCTCCTCCTCCTCCTGCTCTTCTTCTTCTTCTTCTTCTTCTTCTTCTTCTTCTTCTTCTTCTTCTTCTTCTTCTTCTTCTTCTTCTTCTTCTTCTTGAAAAGTTTTCATCAGGGTTTCATACACACACACACACACACACACACAAACTTATTCATTTTGTCTAGTCTCCTCCCCTCCCTGATAGCCAATCAACTTCCTCCCAAAAAATTGCAACAAGTATAAACTTTAGAGATAACTTGGTGTCCGCATTAGGGGAAAATAAGCAGTTGGAATTTGCAAATCAGTGGCTCCAGTTTGAAGGCCAGTGTGATTTTTCATAAGGGATTAAATGTCCCTTCTTGTAGATTATGAAATTTTAGATACTGTTGATTAGGACAGGAAGAAACAGAAAGAATCTAGTGGTGGAGATGGCTTCTTTCAGGTCCCTTAGCATATAGCCCAAAGAAATATGTTACAACAAGAAGAATTTTGAAATAGGATATTTCTGGTCTGCATTAGTTATAAAAATAAAACTAAGATAGCAAAAGACAAATTGGATAAAATCGGGGCTACTTAAAATGTCCGCAATTGCACGAGTACCAATGCATAATTCCATAATTATTTATTTGGCTCATTGGCTTATTTATGGACCAAAACTGGATGCAATATTCCAGGTGTGGTCTTACTAAGGATTTATAAAGTGGTATTAATACTTCACGTGATTTTGATTCTATGCCTCTGTTTATACAACCAAGGATTCTTGCATACAAGTATGTTACAAATCAGTTTTCTAACAAGCTGAACTTTCTCTTGGGAAATTATTTTTCTGCCTTTGCCACGAAGTTAGCAGAGAGAACTCATTTCTAGCAAGGTTGCTTTGCTTTTCCTAGGATATTACTTAAATAACTGGTCATCTAATATTTCCTCTGTGCCTGCTCTCCTTGTAAAGAAACATCATTCCAAAGAAAGTGCCCTAATGAATTTGGTGTTTCATAATGTCGGCAAGAAAGCCGATAATCTAATAGTAATGAAGTCAGAGCGTGCGTGTTTACTATAGCTTTACTCCATTTCTTATTCAGGCCTAATTAGATTTGGGTATGTAGAATATTTGAGGTTAATTGAATATTTTCTTTAATAAAACTGAGATTTACATGATGGGGAAAGGAAGTGTACTTTGAGCTTAGGGAGAAACTAGCAGTCCCACGGATTTTGTATGAAAAAAATAATCATGATAAACTCAGGTGTAATTTGAGAAGTCATTATTTCTTAGTAAATAAATGCCTTTTTTATTGGATTCTTTTATTATATTTATGTCTCCAGCATTGTGGCTGGCTTTTTAAGAAACTGGTTTACATCTTAGTTGAGACAAAGAGATCTTGTGAAATTCTGCCTTAATAAGCAACCTTTAATATAACAACTGAGTATTGTTGAGTCCCTAGCCATTTGCTTTTCCTTTCTAATCTATAGATAGAAGGGGGAGAGATTCACAGTTAATAAATTAAATGTTCTTAGTAAATCATAATACTATAATGGGTCTAAGCTTGTCTGTTAATTAGGGACATTATTTTGCATATAGCTTTATTCATGTTAAAAAAAATCTGTCTAAAGAATTATGTAAAGAAGATGGACAGTGGGTTTCAGAAAGGAACATTTGAATATTTTCCAAAAATTGAAGAACTGCAGTTTCCAAGCTTTCCTATCATTGACACAAGAAGAGATAGAACATCAAAACTTGAAAGTTGGGACATGTGGTAGGACTTGCCTCTGACACTTACTTATTAATAAAAGCATATAGGCAGATGGTTTATAATACTAGTGGTGTGAGCTTAGTTGTTTTCTTGGAGACGTTTCATTATCCACGTTGGTGACATCATCAATACTTAGAAGGTGCTTCTAGCACTGATGATGTCACCTAGTTGGGTGATGAAATGTTTGCAAGAAAACAACCAAATTCAGAGAGCACCAAGGACTACACAGTCATCTCCTTCTCCTCCTCCTCCTCCTCCTCCTCCTCCTCCTCCTCCTCCCCCTCCTCCTCCTCCTCCTGCTTCACTGCCTTCTAGCACTGATGATGTCACCTTGTTGGGTAATGAAATGTCTGCAAGAAAACAACCAACCTCAGAGAGCACCAAGGACCACACAGTCATCTCCTCCTCCTCCTCCTCCTCCTGCCACACTGCCATCTAGCACTGATGATGTCACCTAGTTGGGTATTGACATGTCTGCAAGAAAACAACCAGCCTCAGAGAGCACCCAGAGAAGAATGCTACTACCTGCCTGCCTACATTGCCATTTGCCTCTAGATAAGTAAATTGGTAGTGTTTTCCTACACAGATAAAAATCTGAATCTTATTTCCCCTTTCCCTGCAAAGTCCTTCTACTTATGACCTGTTGACATATCAAATAGTACTTCAGAATAAAAGATACTTTTTTAAAGAAACAAATCTTTGAGAAGGCAGTAATAAGCACACAGACATCATACTAATCATTTTCAACCCGAACTCAACAATACTTTTAATTCTCAAGAGTCAAACATTAGGGGTGTAAGCAGCTTCGTTCACTCCGGTGATATAAAGAGCGACACACAAATAGGACATGCTTAATTTCACCTGAAACAGTATGATTCCCTTCCTCCCTCTTGGCCCTGGTCCCTCAATCTTGTCTTCTCTTTCTCCCTCTTTGGGCTAAACCACCCTAATTGAAATAAGAAAGATTAAGTTCACTTGTTAGATACTGATAACAAGGAAATAGCATTGATATTTCATAGAGCTGAAAGAATATTGCCTCAACTATGCTGAGAAAGCAGGAAAACAGCCTGGAAACCAGATTAATGGGCCTAAAGAATGTTATCTTGGCTGTGTATAAACCTGCTTGCGAATTGACAATCGGGTAAGATTAATGAAATATTCTCAAACTCTTCTTTCTTTTTTTTTTTTTTTTAAGGAGACTTACATAGAGTTAGTTAATCAGAAGCCTTGAGCTTTGAGGAATGAATAGCAGTTGAGTACCCTTTGGATTCAGAGTAGTAGGATGGAAGAAAGTTTCTTTCCACGCACAGATAGTCCTTGACTTACGACTACGACTGAGCCCAAAAGTCCTGTCGCTAAGCGAGACCATTCTTAAATGAATTTTGCCCCATTTCTGCGACTTTTCTTACCAAGTGAATCCCTGCAGTCGTTAAATTAGTAACCCTGTTGTTAAGTGACTCTGGCATCCCCCATCGACTTTGTTTGTCAGAAGGTTGCCAAAGAGGATCACGTGACTCCTGGACACTGCAACAGTCATAGGTACATGTCAGTTGCCAAGCGTCCGAATTTTGATCACGTGACATGGGGATGTCGCAATGGTTGTAAGTGTGAAAAACGGTCATAAGTCCCTTTTTTATTGCTGTAGTAACCTTGAATTGTCGCTAAATGAACTGCTGTGATTCAAGGACCGCCTGTAGAGACTACAGAAATTATGTCAACTTTATTTCTAGGATTTGATTCAGAAAAAAAAAATAAGACCACAAACCTTGTTTGGACCGATTTTGGCACAACTGTTTATCTGGGAGGCGTAGCAGCTTTTCCAAGAAATCTAGTTTGATTATTGTTAGTGAGTTAGACCTCAGTTCCCACGAGCACGCCTGAAAGTATGTGTATTACATCTTCTCTGTTCAGTCTGGGGAGCTCCAAGTTGGAGAAGAGTAATGGATAGGTAAGGAATGGACAGTGTGGGGAATTCTGGGACTTGAAGTCCACACCTCTTAAAGTTGCCAAGGTGGGACAGCCCTGACGTAAATCAAAGTCCCCCTCCCTCGAAAACCGTAGACGTGGCCAGTGGTGGGATTCAGCCAGTTCGCACCAGTTCAGCAGAATTGGTAGCTATTTTTTTGTTGCCCAGGCCCAGAATGGACTTCTGGAAGCGGCATCCACACAGAGTACCGGTTGTTCACATAGTTGAGTCCCACCACTGGACGTGGCCCTCAACCACCAAAACATCGCCTGCTCTGCCTAAATCAAAATTGCTATTCCTGGAGTTTCAGAAGCCTAAGTGGAAAGCGTTGGACATCAGTTTTTGATGATGTGCATTGCTAGAACATCCAAGCCTTGGGCACCAAATAAATGCAAGGCCAAGACAAAACTCAACCCCAGCTCAACCTTTCTGGTAGCTTGTTTATCAGTCAAGGTAGCTGCAGTCCATGAATCTTTTTTCATTTTGATTCGCTTGATTTCAAAAGAGTCTGGAAGAGCTTTTAAAAGTCTGAGACTCTTATGTGAGGGCAGATGATCTTCACTCAATATCTCACATCAAGGACAGTCCAGCAAAGGGGTCCAGGATTGAAATAATCCTTTTTCTCCCTTCAACTAAACAGCGGGTTCCTTTGAGCGTTATCAAAACCACGAGGAAAGACCTCCGCGTTGAAGATTCAGAGCCATCTGGTTTTTATATATATATATATATAATTCCACCTTTTCTGGAAATATTTGTCTGTCTGAGAATAAAGCCTGCTCATCTGCCCTCCACATTCTGCCTTCTAGAATTGGCTTCCAGTCTTTATTCCCGTTTTATGTTGCGCGTCTTGGACCAGATGGGAACTCTATGTGCGTATAAGTCATTGCAAAAGAATGCTGGGCCTTATGCTATCGTTTCTTTGTAGAAACAAAACCAAAAAAAAGGTGAATATGAATCGGAGCAGCATTTTACTTCAGGGTGTTTCAATCAACACCGAGGGATTATTTGAGGTTGCCAAAATCAACACGTAGGATCAGCCTATGCAAAAGAAGTCATGTGTCGTAAGTGCATTTATTTACTTGCTGGCACTTAATGACTTAACAGTTATTTCTGTTCGATTTTGCAGTAATATACGTGGATCAAGCCAAGTATAAAGCAAGGTGGGATTATCTCAAGGCTGTACTTTGTGGATCTGAGCCCAGACATGGAAGGTAAGATTTTGAGAAGACACTTTGATTTATATTCCTTGATAATAATTAGAATAGAATAGAATAAGAATAGAGTAGAGTAGAGTAGAATAGAATAGAATAGAATAGAATAGAATAGAATAGAATAGAATAGAATAGAATAGAATAGAATAGAATAGAATAGAATAGAATAGAATAGAATAGTTGGAAGGGACGTTGGAGGTCTTCTAATTTAACCCCCTGCTTAGGCAGACAAATGATTGTCCAATCTCTTCTTAAAAACTTCCAGTGCATTCACCACTTCTGGAGGCAAATTGTTCCACTGATTAATTGTCAAGAAATTCCTCCTTAGTTCTAGGTTGCTTCTCTCCTTGATGAGTTTCCATCCATTGCTTCTTGTCCTGTCTTCAGGCGCTTTGGCGAATAGCTTGACTCCCTCTTCTTTGTGGCAGCCCCTGAGATACTGGAACCCAGCTATCATGTCACCCCTACTCTTTCTTTACTAAACTAGACTAATTCCTGAAACAGTTCATCATAAATTTCAGCCTCCAGGCCCCTAATCATGTTTGTTGCTCTTCTCTGCACTCTTTCTAGAATCTCAGCATCTTTTTTAATTGCGATAGCAGGGAAAGGAAAAAGGAACCAACGAGGACATAAATACTTGGGAAAACTTGACTTTTGCTTCACTAAGTTCAGATACTCCAGTAGCAACATGTTCAATGTGTTATTTCTATCCGGGTACTTCACAGGAGCATGGATGCAAGCTGTTTTCGAAAAATGTCATTCTAACGCCCGTGTTTATTCTGAGGAAATGTAAATCCACCCTTCACCGTATCTGAATGCGGCTTACAATTTCAAAAGCAAAGAACTGTTTTCCTTTTTAATGTCCATCCAGTGTGTGTTGTCTGTGTGTGGAGAGAGAAATTCATTTTAATTTCAAAATCTGTGCTATTTTGATCATAGCTGGAGCAGCTGCTGGTTCAATTGGTTTCAGAACTGCTGATTAGCTTCACGCACCCTCAGATTGTCCATGTATTCACAGATAAGCAGTTTCAACTAACGGGATATTAGCTGGCAATAAGGCAATAACCTTTTCTTTCCTCCATTTTATTTCCAAACTGAGCTTCATATGGTGGCTGGCATGTAGTTTTTTTTTTTTTAATGGAATCCGACAGGAAGTACCATAAAGTGATCCCTTAAGAGCGGGCACGTCTCACATCTAAAGCACTTTGAAGTTCAGAAAGATTATTATTTTTTTTTCCCTTTTCTCATTTCAGCAAACAAGCAAAGGACTTCCAGATTTACTGCATACATTAGTCAGATGAATAACATGCCGGGCCTAGTAAAACTCCAAATAAAGTTGAAGTTATCCCGATAGTCCTATAATCTATGGCATAGATGATTGATTTATATGACAAATTCAAGCCTAATGACTAAGCAAAATCTTCTGCTTAAGATTCTTTGCAGTTAAGCCTGGCTTTACGTAGAAGCCAGCTAAAAATGTTTGGGTCGGTCTAAAATGTACATATTTTGATTCTGGACATGCTTACTCATAATATCCTGCAAACGTTATGCATCTTTTTTTAAAAAATAAACAACAGTGCAGACATCCATATTTAATTTGTGCATGGTGCACGCAAACAAACATATTTCTATAGACCATTTCCCCCCAATTGTCCATTCTCAAGAACCATTGCCAGTCAAAGAAGAAGTTACTCACACGAATGGATCAATGGTTGGATTCATTAAGACAGACTAATGTTATTATTTATATCATGCCATTATTATTTTTACAAATAACTCAAGGCAGGGAACGCATCCAACACACTTTCCTCCTCCTATTTTCCACACAACAACCCTGTGAAATGAGTTGGGCTGAGAGAGAGGGACTAGTCCAAAGTCTCACAGTTGGCTTCCATGCCTAAGGCAGGACTAGAACTCACTGTCTCCTGGTGACTGGCCCAAAGTCACCCAGCCAGCTTTTATGGCTAAGGCAAGACTAGAACTCAGTGTCTCCTGCTTCCTAGCCTGGTGCCTTAACCAATTATGGTAATCTTCTCCTAGTTTGTCCCCACAACACGTCCCCACGTGTGGACCACTTGAATATGTGAATTGTCCCTTGCTTCTCGTCCGATTCGAGAGCCTTCTTTGAAGCCCAGCCATCAGGAGAGATGGGAAATGCCTATTATTGTTCTCAAGTACACAGATGCCACAGATTGTGAAGTTGGCGGCTTTGCTCCTCTGCCACATGTTTCCTATCACAAGGCCCTGTATAATAATATCAGAAGATTTCTTCCCCCCACCCCCTTTCATTTGAAACAGGAACCAAACTTTAAAGTTTAGGAAACCAAACAACCCGGGATAAAAATATCGCTCCAAATTGGCCACATATGTGGGGAAAGGAAAGTTCAGGGATAACTAAAAATGACAGTAAAGTCGCATTGTACAAAAGACAGTGAGAATTAAAGTTATGCTTCGTTTGCAGATTAAATTTCCCAGGTTCTCACAGAGATTTCCATCTTCTGGACATTGGGGAAAAGTGATTTAAAAAGAGCAACCATTGAACCTTGTCCAAACTGCAGGTGTGAAATATTGTTTTAGCTCGCCAGATGTGCTGTAGAATTTACTATATGAATGCAGTGCGTTTATTGAATTTGGAAATTGCCCATTTCCCTCACAGAGCGACTGTAACTTCCCTCATTCTGCAACTGAAATATAGGCTGAATTTGTGCATTCGGTCCCAAAAATAATGAAGGCTGAAGGCAGTTTCTAAATAAAAGAAACAACCATGGGTTGTTCAGCTGGTTTGTAAATCAGCTCTTCTGTCAATAACCAGAAGAAATGGACATAGTAAGTAAATAAATTAAGGAGTTAGTCACAATTCTGAATTCACTCCTAATAATAAGCTCTCGACAAAACCATTCAGGATTCTTCAGCCAACTATGGTTTGTTTTCAGTAGTTTAAGCAATTATTTTATCCTGGTTAAACTAAAGACAAACAATGTCGTGGCTTAATATCCTGCAAGAACCAGCTCACAAGGTGGTGAATAATAAACCACAATGCTAATACACTTACATTAACACTTATAGATCTGGGTTAAGGGGGGCTTTTGCCCCAACTTAACGTAAAAAGATTCTTGCTGTTGCCAATAACATGATATTTTGGGACAGCTGGGAAGCTAAATTAAATATTTTCGAAGCAACATCTGCTCTATCCAGAATGGTGTTAATTTGCATCGATGTTGTCTTTGTTTGGTTTGGTTCGAGAAAGGAACATGCACAACATGCTTAACAATCTGCAAAGCTAATTTTCCTGTGGTCTGGCTAAACTTTTCCAAGTGTCGTGGGTTCACTGAGGCGCCAAGGAAAGTCATCCTTGACACTCGCCTTTGTACTTTGTGTCGTTCCACACTGCCAAGTAAACAGACAAGGCCGACATGTTGTTTAATGTTTATTCGTCGAACGAAAATTATGAATTTGAACCAGCAAGATGAAAAAAATTAAAATGTGGCAGGAACGATAGGCGCGTTAGTGCACTTACGCACGGCCCCATTTTGGAATTTGTTTCTTGGTCTGTTCTTTTTTTTTTTGAAGAGGGGTAGCATTATTTTAAATTGGTTCTCCCCAAAAAGAGTTTCCTTCCATTCTTCATCTAAACATAAGCAAGCACGCGTTCCAAAATAATATTTCATCCCAGGACTTTTTGTACATGAATTAATAGTTTTATTGGCAGAACGTCAAATGCCAGAGCCCACCACAAGCAATATTTACGGCTAAAGGACATTCTCCTATATTATATATTGGAAACTTCTGAAATAACGCATTTTATCCTTGGTTGTTTTTTTTTTTAATGCTTATGGATGGGACAGATTAAAAAGTTTCCTTTTTCTGTTTGAAGGAGAAGCCAGAATGTGGCAAGAGCCCTTTTCCCAGGCCCCATCTACCATTTCACAAAGTATCTTAGATAGGAATGCTAACTTATAAAATAAAGAATAATACGTTGTTTCTGGTCTTGCATGATACCCAGTTCCCCCCTCCCTTGATGATCCTTTCCCTCCTTCCTCCCTACAATTTCTTTTGTTTCTTTGTTTATTTCCAAGGGCGTAGTTCTGGGTCTTAATTAAACAGAGCTAGATATTGTAAGCTAACCAGAGTCATTGATTGAGATGGGCAGCTAGAGGGAAGGAAGGGAGGGAGGGAGGGAGGGAGCAAGGAAGGGAGGGAAGAAGGAAGGAAGGGAAGGAGGGAGGGAGGGAGGGAGGGAAGAAGGAAGGAAGGGAAGGAGGGAGGGAAGAAGGAAGGAAGGGCATCTAGGTACTTTGGGGAACTGTTCCTAAATGAGACACTATGAGCAGGGACACCCTTAATCCAGCTCTGAGCGGTTTCCCATGATCATAAGAGCCAAATGTGCTGAGAGCATAAATGAATGTAGTTACTGTCACTCTGATGCCTTGTAATACATTGTTGATGCTCTCTTGGAAGATGATCTAAGTACTAAATTGCCCCTTATGTTAACCAAATGCATCATTAAAGCAGCCATTTCCCTTTCGAACAAAAAGCAACTCCTGGCTCTCGATCCGTAGGGATGTTCCCGGTCCATATCAGAGCCTCCCCCAAAAGACCATCTTGTCCCAGAAGATGCTGTTGAGAACAAATCAACCATGCTCTTCTCTTGACTCCTGTGGCCGGTTAAGGCTGTGACCGGATCCCCTCCTGGCCCTGAACTGCGAGGGATCCAGATCTATTTCAACCTCACTGAACTCAGCTGAGGTTTCATCTAACTTTTTAAAATTCCAATGCAATGTCAGAAATAACTCTCCTGATTCCCCCCCCCTTTTTTTCCCCCAGTATACGATTTACAGTGGTCAGTGATCCTCCAGAGGATCAGCAGGATCTGGAATGTGAAGATATTGGCTTTGCTTACGTGAGTTTAAGCCAGATCTTCCAGCAAAGGCAAGACCTTATTAACCGAGACATTGATGGTAAGTCCAGGGTTGTTCTTCTAACACCGGTGTCTCCAGCTTCCCAATTCACAAATCCTTAAGGATATTAAATAGCTAAGATCTAATATTATGGATGTCTATGGAGATTCTCAGTCATCCAGGTCATCGTTATCCCAAAGATGCTTTTTTTTCACGAGGCATCTGGACTTTCTTTTTTTTTTGAAGACGTTTGGCTTCTCATCCAAGAAGCTTCTTCAGCTCTGGCTGGATGGTGGGGTCAGAGCTGAAGAAGCTTCTTGGATGAGAAACGAAATGTCTTCAAAGAAAGTCCAGTTGCCTCCTGAAAAAGCATCGTTGGGATAATATTAAGGATGGTGTCCACATTTCCTTAAGCAAAAAAAGGTGTTAAGAATCGTTGACGGTTGATAGTTGATCGGTCTCGCCTTGAAAGAAAACATCAAAATGCCTTAATTCTAACGTGGGTTTTCTTGGCCAACTTCCTTCTAAGGCATCTCAAGTACAGGTCATTCTTGGTTTACAATACTTTGTTTCGTGACTGTTCGAAGTTACAAAATGACAAAATGACCTCCGATAGCTTCCGACAACAAAGTCAAGTGGAGGAATTAGCCTAACTTCTTCATGACTCGCTTAACCGCAGTGACTAAATCTAAAGAAACAGGTAGATCAGGGATCTTGTTAGTTTCCAGCAACAAGTCTTTCTCGGCAGTACAAGAAGAACAAAAGTAACTTTTGAAAAGGACTAGTCATGTACATGTAGTCCTCAACTTATGACCACAGTTGAGCCAAACTTTATGTTGCTGAGTGAAACATTTGTTAAATGAGTTTTTCCCATTTTATGACCTTTCTTGCCACAGTTGTTGAGTGAATCAGTGCAGTTGCTATGTTGGTGTCATGGTTGTTAAGTGGATCTGGCTTCTCCGTTGACTTTGATTGACCAAAAGTCGCAAAAGCAAATCGTGTGAACCCGGGGACGTTCAGCGACAAAGGACCCAAAAGCTCAGGAAATGGGGCACGACTCGTTTTAACGACCCCACGGCTTAAGCAAGGGGGATTCTGTTCCCAGGGGCTGTGATCGTCCATAGAGGACCTCTCCGTTACGTGAGAAGGTCAGATGGAAGTTCCCTTCCAAGACAATCGAAACGAACAAGCTAAAAGGTTAATCTCCGTTTCAGAAGGACAACCTTTTGTTTGCCGATTTCTTTTTAAAGATTTTTTGCTTTTCAAAAGGGTTTCCCCAGAAAACTGGCAGCTTGGCCTTTGGGTCTTGACCCCGTCACCTCCTAAACAGACCACCGAGTCTCCGTGGTTTGGCCTGGGATCCATGAGCCGAGGTGGCGCAGCAGTTAGGGTGCAGTACTGCAGGCCACTTTAGCTGACTGTGTTCAGCTGGTCACCAGTTCAAATCTCACCGGCTCAAGGTTGACTCAGCCTTCCATCCTTCCGGGGTAGGTAAAATGAGGACCCAGATTGTTGGGGGCAATGTAAATATATATATATATATATATACATTGCTTACTGGTGTACACCGCTTAGAGAGTGCTTGCACTTAAAGCGGTATATAAGTCTCATAAATAAATAAAATAAATAAATGTTGCTCAGGCTGGGCCATCGTTTCAGCCTCTCTGCCCAAGAGCAGGTCCTGATGCTCCTTAGAAACACGGAGCCTGAAGGCTTGCAGACATTAAATCAATCTCCCTCTGCCTGCCTCCCTCTTGCTCGTTTTTTTTTTTTTTTTAAGCCTGTCCCAAGTCCTTTTTCGGTGTCCGTCAGAGATGCAGAAGTTAAGATATCCGTCAATCTGCTTCTGGATGGGTCATTTCTCTTTCCTGCCCTTTTTTCCTTCTCCAGTTTTCAATTCGCAAGACAACAGAGCGGTGATCGGGAAGCTGCGAGTGACGGTCGAAGCCTTGGCGGCCCTCAATTCAGTCTGGAAGAAATGCGGAAAGACTCAGGAACCCTGAACCTGGAGGCCTGGGCCTGTCCGGTGGAAAGCAAGAGAAGATAGTACCTTATATTTAAATGTATAATTTGTATGTAAAGCCTGCCTGGGTTTGCGGTGTAAAGTTTGTATATTTTTGCCTCCTCGGTTTGAATTGATGTTTTTCGATTTCTCTCCGTCTGTCCCCAGCCCAGGGCTATCGTTCCAGCCCATCAGCCTGTGAATAATTAATATCTACGTGATTGAACGGTGGACCTTTTTGTTAATTGGATATATGTATATACAGAGAGAGAGAGACTTTTGTCATGTGTGTGTGTGTGTAAATATATTCCACATAACAAAAGTCATGAAAAATCAAGTAATTATATAATACTACTACTACTACTACTACTAATAATAATAATAATACACTTAAGCCTCAGAAACCTGATTAAAAATACCTCTATGTTATCCCTAATCACACCCCACTAAATGGAATGTATGCGATTAGCCTCATTAAGAATTTTATACTGCAAAGCTTTTATTAGAAGCAATATATGAAAATTACTTGGATAAATGTGTTAATCTGCCTTTTTAAAATGCTAATATCCATTTTATGCACATTAAGTCTCAGTATGTGTTTTCTTTGATGCATGCCATTTCTATCAATTAAATACAAAGAATGAGGCTAGTCCCCAGATTTATTAAATTACTGCAAGCTTTTATGAAAAAAGAGAGAGAGAGAGAGAGAAAGAAACACACAACTTTTGCCCTTCTGATAACAGTTGAGATCAAGTTTGGAAGAGGAGAGGGTCCCATAAATGGTGCTTATGAATGTATACGTGGGTGTCTAGAAAGGGAAGGTCATCTGTAAGCAAAAGAGATTTACATATATCAACCACGTATTAATACCTCTTTACAATGCCTTGGTAAGGCCACACTTGGAATACTGCATCCAGTTTTGGTCACCACGATGTAAAAAAGATGCTGAGACTCTAGAAAGGGTACAGAGAAGAGCAACAAAGATGATTAGGGGACTGGAGGCTAAAACATATAAGGAACGGTTGCTGGAATTGAGTATGTCTAGTTTAATGAAGAGAAGGACGATTGGGGACATGATAGTAGTCTTCCAGTATCTCAGGGGCTGCCCCAAAGAAGAGGGAGTCCAGCTATTCTCCAAGGCGCCTGAAGGCAGGACAAGAAGCAACGGATGGAAACTAACCAAGGAGAGAAGCAACCTGGAACTAAGGAGAAACTTCCTGACAGTGAGAACAATTAACCAGTGGAACAACCTACCTCCAGAAGCTGTGAATGCTCCAACACTGGAAGTTTTTAAGAAGAAACTGGACAGCCATTTGTCTGAAATGGTATAGGGTTTCCTGCCTGAGCAGGGGATTGGACTAGATGACCTCCAAGGTCCCTTCCGACTTTATTATTATTATTGTTGTTGTTGTTGTTGTTGTTATTATTATTGTGTTTTACACTTCAGGCTTAGCTCCCCCTCCCCTTCTCTGCTTGGTCTACATTCCTCCCATTTAGATCATATTTATATACAGGATACAAAGTAGTCCTCGATTTACGATTGTTCATTTAGTGACCATTCAGAGTTACAACAGCCCTGAAAAAACTGACTTACAACTTGCCATCTATCCAGGGTCACGTGATCCAAATTCTGTCACTTGGCAACTGACTCATATTTATGACGGTTGCAGTGTCCCTCTGGATCATGTGATTCCCCTTTTGCAAACTTCTGACAGGCAAAGTCATCGGGGGAAGCCACTTAACGACCCTATTATTAATAACTGCAGCGATTCGTTTAACAACGGTGACAAGTTGTTAAAATGGAGCAAAATTCACTTAATCGCTGTCTCCCTTAGCAACAGAAATTTTGAAGGTAGATTGAGGACTACCTGCTTAGCCTGGAAATTTACAACTTTCCAGCCATGCTGATGAAAGATTTAAATGAAATTTGCAAAGGACAGGTAACATTTAAAAAACACACACACATTACAAAAAAAACCCCACAGAAAAATAAGAGTCGGAAGGAGCTACTAATAACACTGGGCCCAAAGCCCTCTGCTCACTTCTGTGACAGAGAAGTGTATTATTTCCAGAAGCAATTTGTTTGTGTGTGTGTGTGTGTGTTTGTGCACGTGTGTGTGTGTGTGTGTGTGTGTGTGTGTGTGTGTGTGTGTATTATTTTCAATTCTTTAAATGGGGATTTTGTCCGGGAAGAGCGCCCCCCACCGTTTGCAAAACAGGCAATCTTTCTTTT